TTATATCAGATCAGGCCACGTCACGTCAGCCCAGGTACAAGTTAGATCAGGTTATTTCACGTCAGGTCAGATCACGATACGTCAGGTCATGGCATGTTAGGTCAGGTCAAGTCATGCCAGACTAGAGCTGGCTTATACAACACTTAATATCAATTACCACAGAGTATAACTAGTCTCTGTTCATTCATTTTCGTATCGTCTCTCTATCTTAGCTCTTCACACCAAACTTAACACACACAGTCACACACTACAATCACTCCACAAACAATACTTATACGCTGTGCTATACAACACCCGTCAAAAAAAAAAATACCTTATCAGAATTAAATTTTCCTTTAGATAACATAACACTTTATTACTACAATACTCGATAACAAAAAACTTTTAACAGAACAATATTTTCTTTTAATAACGCAAGACCTTAATTGAGTTGATCTTCCTCCGTCAAGGCTATAACAACCCCCCCCCCCCACACCCCACTGCTTCTTCACAAGGCAATTAAGCTAACAACCAATTACCACAGCACGACAAATATTCTCCCCCCCCCCCCAAGACCAAAAAAAATCTATCCAAACACTCCAATTACCTATTTTTCCTTCTATTTATTTATATTTTCGGGGGGAGGTTTTCTTCCCCTGGGCTAAGACTCGCCAGGTCTGACAGATTTAATTTAGAGCAAAACAAGGCAGGAATTTCTTGAAGCAGGAAACCGCACCATTCCGCGATAGGACGGGGAAGTTAGGAAGGAATTTGGCCAAGGCTTTGTGGACGCTTTTAATGGGAATGTAGAAGCCAGAGTGGTATTGGCGAGGGTAAGAAAGCTGGGTAAGAGTTTAGGAGAGGGAGATAGGTAGGTAGGTTAGGGAAGGAGAGAGGTTAAGTACGTAGGTAGTTTAGGGAGGTAGGTAGGTAGGCTAGGGAGGAGGTAGGCAATTTAGGTAACCTGCAAATTGGAAGTAGTTAGGTAGAATATATAGAAGTGGAAGTTTCAAAGTGGGAATGGATATTAGGGGAACATTAAGGAGGCAGAAGGGACGTATAATAGAGGCATTTAATGAGAGGAGGAATAGGAAGAGAAGGAGGAAGAAGAGGAATAAAAGAAGGAGAATTACAAGAAGAATGGAAGCATAGAATGAGGAAGGTGCGGGATAGACGAGATAAAGAAAGGTTAACGAGAGAAGGAGGCAGACGAAGGAGCCTAAAATGTAGAGATATATTTCTGGTTAAGGTATATTAGCAGGTACCTTCCAAGCCTAGTGTCTTGCGTCACTGGGGCTCGGTGTGTTGCGTCCCCTGGGCTCGGTGTGTTGCGTCCCTTGGGCTCGGAGTGTGTGTGTTGCGTCCCCATGGACTATGTGTTTTTCTTCCATTACACTTTGTGTAATGGGATTTCATCACCTTCAAAGCCGCTGGCACTGCTAACTAAACAGAAAACTAATATTAGCATTTTCAATTACTTTATTACTGTCACTGAACACTTGATCAGAATTAATTGTTATTTCCACGTTTCTACTCTGACAAAAAAAAATATAACATTTCCAGAAAACTGGATACTTGCACAGATATAATGAATATTTCCAGAAAATATGGCGTTGGAATTATGGATAAATTAGAGATTTAATTCAGTAAATCTGAACAGCAAAAATGGAATTGTCAATTACTTGAGCAGTGGAGCATGCCAGGAACCCTGTCTAATTCAAGGGCCCCCCTAAAGTCCTGGGAGATTTTTAGTCGCAGGAAAGATGGTGGCCACTGAGGGGTGTAGTTGCTAGGTAATGCAGTGGCCTTCTACAAGCAATGCCAATAATTGTAATGGAATTTACTTTTAAAACGCTTCTTTGATGTCAAGTCTTGGCAGGAATTTGTGGGGTGTGGCACCAGGAAGTAGGGGGAGGTACGCCAAGTGGTTGAAGTTAGAGTGTGGCTGGAGACTGGAAAGATGTGATTGAGAAAGGGAGAGAGAGATAGAAAGACAGAAAGATGGACAAAGGCTGAGTAAGAGGAAAGAGAGACGTAATAACTTGCAAAATGAATTAGACGATACACACCAAAGGCAGACTACAAACAAATGCAAAGTTATGAAGCAATGAACAACTGGAATGAACTTGTGTACAGACGGGGTGATCCATGCACAGAGGAGGCGAACCTATCGAAAGACGGAGTGAACCCATGAACAGATGTCAAGAGGCTCACCCACTGAAGATAACTTTGTGTATGTGTGATGTGATACAGGATGTGATATGTGGCTAAGATTAGTGTTCATTCATCTCAGACAAACGTGGCCTGGTTCAAAGTTTTTGATTATCATGATGTCAGCTTTGTCTTAGAAATAATAATAAATCTTCTTGGGAATTGCCCCAAAACTTAATAACTGGACACGTAAGCTTTTACAAACAACGCCGGAGTTGCCATTAATGTGATCTGGAGTTAAATATTTTCAATTGTAAGATTAATACATCAGAGATGATATCTATGATTCTGTATGTTACCTTTCAAGAACAAATATACGTACCAATCATACTAAACACCTACATTGTTTTTTCCCATTATTCCTAATGATACGAAACTTCCTGTTGTTTCATATGTAGATGACACCAAAACTGTTGTAACAACGGAAGCCTCAGTGGTGCTGGGAAACTTGAAACTCAAATGAATCAAAGATGCATACAAATCATTTCAGCATTGTTAGGTGAAAGTGAAATAACCTAAAATTGAAAGCAGTGATCATTTGTTGATAGATGTTAATCTTCTTGTTTGAGGAGCTGTTCACTTGAGACAGTTAAGCAAGTCCCAGCTGTGTCTAGGTACAAGTGACAGGATGAACAACCCAGCGGGTTTTCTTCCTATTGGGGAGTGTTGTACATGCTGCTATGGCGGTATGTCCACTCACAAGATGAGTGGCGCTGCCCAATAAACTCGCCCCTCAGAGCAAAATTTAATTTAAATTTAAATGTAATTAACTATTTCCCATTTTGAAGTAAAAACGTAGGCAGCACGAACCAAAGCTCAATAGTCGCGAGAATAACTGAGTATAAAACAACAACAACAACACTTAAAAACGAAGGAAGTTCGTTTTTGAAGGAAAACGGTTCGTGAAGGAACTATTAGGGGAACGCCTGATAGTTCCCCCTTAAAAACGAAATACAACCAACTCTCTCAAACACGACGCGGACAAGACCCAGACGCGTACAGTACGTGTCTGGGCTCCGAGTCCCCCTCAGCACCAGCCCGGCGCCCAGCCCAGCCACCTGACACACAATAATAGCCCAGGCTCGAACCCCTCCCCAGCCCCCTCCAGTCGAGCCTCCAGAAGTTTACTGATGAGCTGTGTGTCTCAATAGAAAGTTTCCACGTCTTTACAAGGGACTTTGAGGAAGCTCTCTCTCTCTCTCTCTCTCTCTCTCTCTCTCTCTCTCTCTCTCTCTCTCTCTCTCTCTCTCTCTCTCTCTCTCTCTCTCTCTCTCTCTCTCTCTCTAGGTGGGTTCTTCTCTGGCTAGAGTGTGTTTTCTGGCTACTGTGTCTACTCTGACAGTAGTCCTTACTCTATGATATACAAAATACAGTAGTGTGCAAATGTCTACAACTTTGAGGTATAATTTGAATATATAAACTCCCCTTCAAGCGGTCTGAACCTGAACTCCAGCCACAACTGTGATGATTTAATATAAAACACTGACAAATAAAACTTTTAATTTAAATCTAAACTGCATGGGGATATAATGATAATAACAGGCTTTGCGGTTTTGGTGACTTTGTTGTGTTTAATGCGCTGTAATTGTATGAAAGCTTCCCAATTAATAAATGTCCAACCACTCATCAACAGTGTCTCGTTACATCCTGGTGATGTCCCCTAATATTAAATTGTTGAACTTGTTATTCATATCTACCCCGTTATCATCAGTCAGTTATCCTGCACTTGATGTCAAGTCCAGTTATCTGGACTTGACATCAAGTGCAATCATTAATTCATCAAGTGACTTGACATTAAGACTTGATCTCCCTTCCCCCCCCCCCCACCCCACCTTCTAACTCTGCTTTGACTGTGTAACTCAAGGGAAAAGGAATGGAATGAACAGGACAAAGTGTTAAGCCAGGATGACTATTCAGTACATGGAAGGGGTATGAGGGCATGAAAGGCGCTGGGGTATGAGGGCATGAGACAAGTCACGGTGTCCAGCCTCTAGGATCACCGGGGATCGAACACCGTCGCTATACCAACAGGTCCGTGTGGCTGGGTTGCTATGCAGTATTTGGCTAAGCTTCGCCAGCCAGGCTAATGTTCGCTATTCACACCATTCGTGGGTTTCGGGTGTCAAACACGAAATAAAAAGAGTCAGAAAAGTGGCAGTATCCACACGTGGCTGGATTTGTGTCAACTCGAGACTAATGGCTTTTGGGCGATACGATACCTACCCTGTCACGCTACTCATATTGACGGTAATAAAGCGATAGCTACCCCTGCTATCTTATTCATACTGACGATTACAATACGATAACCACTCGCCAGCTTACTCACACTGACGATAACAGAGAAAAGCCTGAAGCAATCCCTCCCCCGCCCAACTAAAAAATGATTGGGCTCAGAAGGCAACGATAGCGATGTTAAAATTACCTTCAATGACGTTCCATCTTCTTTTGATCACTTTTTTTACGACATAGAGACGTCCTTATTACGCGAGATATCGCTGCTGGCACGAAGATTACACGAACGTCAAAACTTCCGTCACGATCGGTTTATTAGTGTGATGGAAGATGTAATTCGTCCGATAGCCTCGTGGTCATATTGGGACACGATAGCCTCGTGACACATATTGGGCCATATTTGAATTGAACAAGTTGATTGATTGACAAGTTTTTTGTTATAATTTTGATCGTCTTTTAAAAGGAACGACTCTGGTAAGGAAGGAGTGTTATATCTGATCAAGATGGCTTCAATGCAAAAAGTTAGAGTGTCCCTTACACCGTTCGATGGCCAAAATCAGTGTTGTTTGTCGTTGCAGACGGGCCGGTGTGGATCAGGGTACCGTCAGGGACACTCAACGTTCTGGAGGGGAAGGAGGAGACCCTTACCGCTGCAGCCATGGCCAACCCTGGACCCATCACGTAAGTCCTGCATCATCATCATCATGGTCTTATAGCGTACATCCTGAGGGCTCTTTGGGGTCTCTTCTGGGAGGTAAGTGTTTTCATCAGGCTTTGTTTTTCAGGTAGATTCATCTGATGGGACACTGTTTTGTTAGGTAGGGGGGGGTCCATGTTGACCAAACCACACACTAGAAAGGGACGACGACGTTCCGGTCCGTTCTGGACCATTCTCAAGTTGATTGTGGAATGGACAATCGACTTGAGAATGGTCCAGGACGGACCGAAACGTCGTCATTCCTTCACTTTCTAGTGTGTGGTTTGGTCAACCTTTTTCACCCACGTTATTGTGACTCCTCGCTTGCCTAGGGGGGTCTATGTTTCATTATGTACAGGTTCTGATCCTGTAGGCAGTTTCTGCCCTCCTCAGGTATGTCGTTGTCTCACCTGGTACCCCCTGGATTAATTGGGTATTAGTGACCCTTTTATCTTATTAAGCAGAGTCTGTTCTCGCTTGAATCCTGTGCTTCGTCAGATCTCGGTACTTTCCTGAAACATAATTTTGCATTTTGACGAGTAATTTGCTCACGAATGAAACAAAGGTAAACAAAAATCTTACTGATGAAACCAGGTGGGAGATGTTCCATGATGCAAGTCTGTAATGCCAGGCACAAGATGCCAGACGTCTTATACATGCATGCAATGGCAATATTTACAGCTGTTTTAAGGTTAAAGATGGCTCAGAGAAGTGAATAACAGTAGGTAGAGATAAGTAACAATTTGGCATCTTTAACAAAGAGGCGTGAAGGATTGACTAGTGAGGCACGTGTGGAGGATTGACTAGTGAGGCACGTGTGGAGGATTGACTAGTGAGGCACGTGTGGAGGATTGACTAGTGAGGCACGTGTGGAGGATTGACAAGTGAGGCACGTGTGGAGGATTGACTAGTGAGGCACGCGTGGGAGGATTGACTAGTCAGTGAGGCGTGGAGGACTGAGTAGTGAGGAACGCTTGTTTGCAGGTACAGCTGGTGGCGCGGTAACGATGAGGTGGGCGGGGTGGAGAGCAGGGGCGGAGAGCTTCGGATGGGCGTCCTGAGTCGCCGACACGCCCACAACTACACCGTCACCGCCCGGAGCCCCAAGGGAGCCCTCACCTCCGCTTTCTTCCTCAACGTACAATGTGAGTAGCCATCTTCACGATACCTAAAATATTTACAACCCAATGTGTACAACATCTTGCACCACTTGGAATAGTCGCTAGAGCGACGACCTTGAATCCTGCAGGGTCGCCGTTCGATCTTCAATAGTGGGAGTGGTTGGGCACCGTTTCTTCACATCATTTTCCAGCATCTATTCTGTCCTCAGAAAATCATTGAATGTCATGTGTCATTCCCTGTGCGATGCTGTAGACGTAAATTAACTGATGGAGTGAGCAAGACTGATCAGTCTCTCTCTCTCTCTCTCTCTCTCTCTCTCTCTCTCTCTCTCCATCTCTCTGTCATTTTGCGGTTCGACTGATCTTAAAGAGAAGTGGCATACAGTTTGTTGTTCTTGCAGTGTCCCTTAAAGATTCTTAGTCAGAGCCCCTCATTAAAAGTATTTTTTGTGTGTCTTTTCCACTCCTGCAGACGGGCCTGAAGGTGTGGTGACGGAGGAGAGAGTCACCATTGAGCAAGGAGGTTCTGCCAGCATCCTCTGCTCGGCTGGTGGCAACCCCACGCCCAACATTACCTGGACCAGAGACGCTGACAACACCAGGCAAGCTGTCCCCTCCGTCACAGACAGCACCACAGACAATTCCACAGACTGTCTTGTCGCTCTTACCCACTTAAAACACACACACACACACACACACACACACACACACACACACCTCTACACTTCCAAGCGAGAGGTTCTGGCAGCGTGACACCTGGGTATTCCGGCTGTTGACACACCAAACCAGTGACAGGTCCTGGCAACCTTGTCACAGCAGGTTCACAAACTTTGTTTTGACGTGTGTAAGACGAGCGCTGTACTACCGGTGTGTGTGTGTGTGTGTGGAGTTCTTGGGCACCACAAATTAGTGTTACATATTTAGTAAATTATGTTTCTTGCTGCCAAATTATTTTGAGGTATAGACCAGAACAAGCTATTCAAATTATACAAGGATTATATAAACTATTTGTCTTTTGATGTGTGTGTCTCTGTTAATCTCTCTCACTCTCTCACAGTGCGCCACTGGTGATGTCCTCTGGCGTGGGGGAGGCGCGTCTGGTGGTGGAGCGAGCCTCCAGGACTGACAGCAGTGTTTACCTGTGCCACGCCTCCAGCAGCGTCGCCTCCGCGCCTCCAGCCTCCTCCACACTCATAGTCCAGCGTGAGTCACAGCTCAAGTCACACACACACTCATTGGTAGTAGGCATCCATCAGTCTCAGGAGACTATATGGAGTTGCGCTCTGATTCATGGTTGTTTAAAAGTTAGTTTCACTACAACATTCTTACACTGCAGCATATTCACCGCTCCAGCTACACAATCCAGTGCGAAGATTCACTGCTACAATAGTTATCTACAGCGACTTAATGAAGCAAAAGTCTATCACTACAACACCATACTTCCACAACAGGCTTACCACTTCCACAACAGGCTTCCCACTTCCACAACAGGCTTCCCACTTCCACAACAGGCTTACCACTGCCTCAACAGGCTTACCACTTCCACAACAGGCTTACCACTTCCACAACAGGCTTACCACTTCCACAACAGGCTTACCACTTCCACAACAGGCTTACCACTTCCACAACAGGCTTACCACTTCCGCAACAGGCTTACCACTTCCACAACAGGCTTCCCACTTCCACAACAGGCTTACCACTTCCACAACAGACTTTCCACTTCCACAACAGGCTTACCACTTCCACAACAGGCTTACCACTTTCACAACAGGCTTACCACTTCCACAACAGGCTTCCCACTTCCACAACAGGCATACCACTTCCACAACAGGCAAACCACTTCCACAACAGGCTTACCACTTCCACAACAGGCTTACCACTTCCACAACAGGCATACCACTTCCACAACAGGCATACCACTTCCACAACAGGCTTACCACTTCCACAACAGACTTACCACTTCCACAACAGGCTTACCACTTCCACAACAGGCTTACCACACAACAGGCTTACCACTTCCACAACAGGCTTACCACTTCCACAACAGGCTTACCACTTCCACAACAGGCTTACCACTTCCACAACAGGCTTTTCACTTCCACAACAGGCTTACCACTTCCACAACAGGCTTACCACTTCCACAACAGGCTTACCACTTCCACAACAGGCTTACCACTTCCACAACAGGCTTACCACTTCCACAACAGGCTTACCACTTCCACAACAGGCTTACCACTTCCACAACAGGCTTACCACTTCCACAACAGGCTTACCACTTCCACAACAGGCTTACCACTTCCACAACAGGCTTACCACAACAGGCATACCACTTCCACAACAGGCAAACCACTTCCACAACAGGCTTACCACTTCCACAACAGGCTTACCACTTCCACAACAGGCTTACCACTTCCACAACAGGCTTACCACTTCCACAACAGGCTTACCACTTCCACAACAGGCATACCACTTCCACAACAGGCATACCACTTCCACAACAGGCTTACCACTTCCACAACAGGCTTACCACTTCCACAACAGGCATACCACTTCCACAACAGGCATACCACTTCCACAACAGGCATACCACTTCCACAACAGGCTTACCACTTCCACAACAGGCTTACCACTTCCACAACAGGCTTACCACTTCCACAACAGGCAAACCACTTCCACAACAGGCTTACCACTTCCACAACAGGCTTCCCACTTCCACAACAGGCATACCACTTCCACAACAGGCATACCACTTCCACAACAGGCTTCCCACTTCCACAACAGGCTTACCACTTCCACAACAGGCTTACCACTTCCACAACAGGCTTACCACTTCCACAACAGGCTTACCACTTCCACAACAGGCTTACCACTTCCACAACAGGCTTACCACTTCCACAACAGGCTTACCACTTCCACAACAGGCTTTTCACTTCCACAACAGGCTTTTCACTTCCACAATAGGCTTTTCACTTCCACAACAGGCTTTTCACTTCCACAACAGACTTACCACTTCCACAACAGGCTTTTCACTTCCACAATAGGCTTTTCACTTCCACAACAGACTTTCCACTTCCACAACAGGCTTTTCACTTCCACAACAGGCTTTTCACTTCCACAACAGGCTTTTCACTTCCACAACAGACTTACCACTTCCACAACAGGCTTACCACTTCCACAACAGGCTTACCACTTCCACAACAGGCTTCCCACTTCCACAACAGGCTTCCCACTTCCACAACAGGCTTCCCACTTCCACAACAGGCTTACCACTTCCACAACAGGCTTCCCACTTCCACAACAGGCTTACCACTTCCACAACAGGCTTACCACTTCCACAACAGGCTTACCACTTCCACAACAAGCTTACCACTTCCACAACAGGCTTACCACTTCCACAACAGGCTTACCACTTCCACAACAGGCTTACCACTTCCACAACAACAGGTTTATCACAGTAATTTAATACCACTTTAATTTAATATATATATTTATTTAATACAATATTTAATTTATTTAATACTTTAATTTATTTAATAGTAATTTAATACATGAATCACCGCCCCATTACCTCGAGTAATTGTCCACGAAGACAATTAACTATACAATCAATTTATCAGTCCATTAACGTGCTCACATGCCTACAATTAATTCACTAGAGCAAATTCGCAAGTACTGAGCATGAGGTTATTAGCTAGATCATAACTACGCCAAGAGAAAATTCACAACTGCAATAGATTCATATTAACAATAGGCGCACATATACAGCTGGCTCATAACTACAGCTGGCTCATAACTACAGCTGGCTCATAACTACAGCTGGCTCATAACTACAGCTGGCTCATAACTACAGCTGGTTCACAACCACAGCTGGTTCAAGAATACTGTCCCAAATATCTCTGTCGCCCCTCACTTCAATTACTCGCACTTCACATTAAAAGTTAATTAAACTTTTACACACTCTCTCTCGTCCAACTTTCCTCCTCAAGATGTTTCCTTCAGAACTTTTTGTCATTTATAACACAAAACATGTAAAAAAAAAAGTATCCATACACTCTGAATACATATAACTAGCCTAATATATATAATTATGTAGCCAGAGTATATATATATATATATATATATATATATATATATATATATATATATATATATATATATATATATATATAAAATGTATGTGTGTGTGTGGTCTATGCCAATATATACCCACATGGGGATTGTCAGCTCAAGTGCTCCACATATATTGGCAGGACGACATCAGTTCTTTCAAGGTGCCTCACAGTGCGCACTAAAAACAAGGGTCCATTAGAAGAGTGGGTGAGGCTTTTACCCTGAGCAGTGGGAAGGGAAGGTTCTCAGCCTGCTCGCGGGAGTCTGTCTGCTCCTGCGCCCTCCTGAGTACAGAAAAATCACACGAATTCTACACTCAGCGAAACCATCAGATTTAGATAGACTAGAATGATTCTTGCAATTGTGCATAATATTTCACACCACAGCATGCCACACGACACGGAACTTTTGCAAAACTTTATACACTATTCCCTATTTCAACATAATGTAATAATATATATAATACTGCGCAATGTAAAAAAAAAAAATGTCTATCTATATTTTCCTAACCTACACAGAGGCACCGTGGTGGCCGAGCCCAAGTTCAGAGGAGGGGGTGGGCGGGTCGTGGGCGGCGCTGGGCGGCCGTGGGCGGCTGGAGTGTCGTATGAGGGCGGCACCTGAACCCACCTTCCACTGGGCCACCCAGGATGGACGGGACGTGCAAGCTGGTCACAAATATACGTTACAAGACGTCCAGGTACAGTGTGACATAACGAAGTAGTAGAATAACAATAGAAGAAATAATAATAATAATAATTCCAAATGTCTCTACCATCCATGAACCTGACTTCTATCTTATTGGCTGTGGGTGAACGTACACAGATTGGGGAGCGGGGATAGTCAATGTGTGATTAACTGCTTCACTGCACTCACTACACATCCTGATGGCTCAATGATAACACACTCATCTCGAGCTTCGCCAGCCATTTGGTCTGGGTTCGAGTCCTGACCAGGGAGAATTGACTTGGTGCCAATGTTTAACTGTTCGCCTCTGTTCAACCAGCAGTAACTTGGTTGTTTTGTTCTGTTGATTTTTCAGAAGTTCTGATAAAGAAGGCAACAGACAAGCACGACTCTTCCTTGCCCAAGTAAATTATGTATTACTAAATCAGGCCTACGATTAAATGTCTAAAAAAAAATTTAGGCCTAGGGCAGGTTAGGTTTATAGTCAAGCTGTTTTAATTTTTTATATACTTCTGAATGTGTAATATGTGAACCATATTAATCTCACTTTAATCCTTGTTATATATATATATATATATATATATATATATATATATATATATATATATATATATATATATATATATATATATATATATATGTGTGTGTGTCGTACCTAGTAGCCATAACTCACTTCTCAGCCTACTATGCAAGGCCCGATTTGCCTAATAAGCCAAGTTTTCATGAATTAATTGTTTTTCGACTACCTAACCTACCTAACCTAACCTAACCTAACTTTTTCGGCTACCTAACCTAACCTAACCTATAAAGATAGGTTAGGTTAAGTTAGGTAGGGTTGGTTAGGTTCGGTCATATATCTACGTTAATTTTAACTCCAATAAAAAAAATTGACCTCATACATAATGAAATCGGCAGCTTTATCATTTCATAAGAAAAAATTAGAGAAAATATATTAATTCAGGAAAACTTGGCTTATTAGGCAAATCGGGCCTTGCATAGTAGGCTGAGAAGTGAGTTCTGGCTACTAGTACGACATATATATATATATATATATATATATATATATATATATATATATATATATATATATATATATATATATATATATATGTCGTACCTAATAGCCAGAACGCACTTCTCAGCCTACTATTCAAGGCCCGATTTGCCTAATAAGCCAAGTTTTCTGGCTACTAGGTACGACATATATATATTGATATACATATATATATATTATATAATATATATATATATATAGTATATATATAGGTATATATATATATATATATAAACTGCTCTCAGCTCTCTCTCTCTCTCTCTAAACAGTATAAGTAATATATGCCTTCTACAAGCTAAGAGCAGTCATTCTACAACATTACATTTAAAAAATACACCTCAAACAAAAATTTATGACGAAGCTTTTAAAATAAAATATTTCATTTGATGTTGAATTACGTCTTTATTATGAGTTTGTTCCGCTGGTGCATTAAAACAAGGACCGTTGTCCAATTTACCGCTTAAATCCCCTTTTGTGAAATTTCGCAAAATTTTTGTCCTCTGGTTTTATAACTAAGTAGATGGTGAGACATGGGGATGTGGACCCGTGAGAGGGGTGTTGACTTGTCGTGTAGCAGGCTGTTCTCGCGACCGTTCCCAACGTCCAGAAACTGTCGTACTAAAGTGTCTTACCCTAACCTACCAGAGGACCCACAAACAAAACAAAAAACGGGACATTATGCCAATTCCGCGAGCCGATATAATTTTCTAGTACGACAGTTTTTGACCAAAGGTAAAGTATACGTCAAAAATGCGTCTTGCTATTATGATGACGGGCTGCTTATGGGGAGGGGGGGGGGATGAGGACTGATCTTGAAGAGAGGTTGTTGTTGTTGTTATAGATTCAGCTACTCGGAACAAGTTCCAAGTAGCACAGACTATGGTGAGCCCGTAACTTACCTGGCACAGGACTTGTAGAGAGAGAGGGGGGTAGGGTGACCCCAGTCTTGTAGTGGCCGGGAAGGAGACGGGGGGGGAGAAGGGGGGGTGGCTGTGGTACAATGGTGGCAGAGTCCCCCCACCAGGAATCAATAACCAGCCGAGTGACGTGTGGTGCTCCTGAAGGGAAAATATTGTATCAATTTACCGATCCGACAGGACTACACCATCCAAGATCCTGTTGCGGCAGCTCCTGCCTAAATTCTTTTTCCCCTTGAGATTTATCGAGGCAAGGTAGGATCTGCAGGTGTCTGGCCGGCTCCGGTGGGACGCTGAACTAGTGAGATCCCCGCGCATGAGGCTTCAGACGTGAGCTGATTGGTTCTTGCTCGCTCTGACGTCCACTATTGTGCTGTTCCTCCGGCTAAATTAAGCTTCTGTAAGCTTTGTTCTAAGGTTAAAGAACGGTGAACGTGTGTGTGTGTGTGTGGGTGTGTGTGTGAAAGCTGAACTTGGAAAATCGACGCGAATGAGAGTCGAGACGGTGGTAGTGGGGCTCGTTGGGGACCAAATTAGGACACAAAATTCCACATTATAAGCCAATAAAAAATGACCAATACCCTAATGGCCCATGGTACTGGAGACATAACCCACGGTACTGGAGACATAACCCACGGTACTGGAGACATAACCCACGGTACTGGAGACATAACCCACGGTACTGGAGACATAACCCACGGTACTGGAGACATAACCCACGGTACTGGAGACATAACCCACGGTACTGGAGACATAACCCACGGTACTGGAGACATAACCCACGGTACTGGAGACATAACCCACGGTACTGGAGACATAACCCACGGTACTGGAGACATAACCCACGGTACTGGAGACATAACCCACGGTACTGGAGACAGATCATAAGCCTGAATCGAAGAATATCTGACCGAAAGATAACGGCGAGTATTCAGTTGGTTGCAACGTCAACGTCACCATTTTCGAATGCCTGACAGCTTGGACTCTTACTTGACCAGTTCACTAAACTGACTGTCAGTCAGAGTTTAGTGAACTGGTCAAGTAAGAGTCCTGTCTCTCTGTGAAGCGGTCCTTATCGACAGACTCACCTGGTCCCGATTCATTTTGCGTCGTGAGAACCAACTTTAATGCAACAAGAACACTCTAAAGAACCTCTCAGTGGGTCGTCATCAAAATTCGCAATTTATAACTAATGGCTTTTAGGGTATCGAAGCTGTATTCGTGCTGAAGGCAGCAGATGCCAGTGGCAGAATTCACAGAGTTTTACACAAACGTAAAATTTAACGTTCATTGACAAAGATTATGTAGTAATGCAGAGCGTGCTTCTGTTACTCCAAGATTGGTGTCGAAAAAAGCTAATGTCGCATGATGGAGACACTGGGACGTCTCAACTGATTGAACACGTGGTTCACTCGTTCAATCACTTGAGTGCCAACTGGATATTCAGGCAAGCATTACAATGGCATGTAAGCTGAACACAGGAATGACGTGTCCCGCTAACGAGTCAATAAAATATGCACATACATCTGAATGTGTTGTGTGTGTGTGTGTGTGTGTGTGTGTGTGTGTGTGTGTGTAAGATACACATTCACTCTGACAGGTGGAATAATAGCGATATCACACAGATAATCACTTGTCCACCATCGGTCTGTCTTTAACTCAGGCCTACACCCGTTGCGGGTGGGTAGCCAGGCGAGTAGCACTGAAGCCCGTCCTCCTAAGGGTTTCCGACGTCAAGAAACTGTCGTCAAGGATTAGTGCCCTTATCCTAACCTACCAGAGGACCCAAAACAGAAAATAGGACAGTATATCAATTTCGCGAGCCGCTACAATTTTCAAGTACGACAATTTTCGCCTTTTGTAAAGGCGAAAATGCGACGTTCTTTTATGAGGACGGATCGAACACTGGCTGGTCAAGGACTCGACGCGAAGACAATCAATATGTACAAGAGAGAATGTCTCTCTGTCCAAAGTTTGAGGCCAGACGCTAGAGGCTAGCCTCACCTAACTTTGCACGGGGAATAATGGTCTGGGGTACACGATGGACAAAGGCTAGTCAGGGATGCCAGAACTCAAGAGGAAACAGCGGCCGAGGGTCACATTCTGACCACCCCCCCCCCCCCCACCCCCTCCACATGACGATTTTGGCACTACACTCTAGCTACGCCTAACTAAATATTTTGAAAACAAAAATGTAAAAACACAGTTATAGAAATGTACACCATTATTCACTGATCTCGGGAGAACATAACAGAAATTTCCTGATATTCATACTTTGACCGTAGTACCATAAAACATATAACCCCTTCTCAGCCCCCCCCCCCCTCTCCTCCCTTGTCAAGGAAACCCGATGTATTGGAATCAATAATACCAGTACTTTTGTGACCGTTGAGCGCTGATCTTTGTGTGTCATCAATTATAAAATTTAGCTTTTTCCTGTGAGATTAATTATGTTGTATTTTTTTTTTTTGACCGTCCATAATTCAACTCCAATGAACAGAACTTTCATTTGAGTCTGAAATGAAGACTCTACTACGATTTCGAAAAATTGCATGTTCTGAACTAAAAATCTACATCCATCCTGGATTTAAAAGGTCAAAATTAACTGAACTCGTCAAATCGACATAAAAAATTAATTCTTAGAACCCAAAAAATCGTCTGGGAATATATTGTTTTGTCGTTTGGGAGCTCTCTGAGGAAGCGTAGACTTATCTGAGGAAGCACACACCACTCTGAGGAAGCACAGACCTCTCTGAGGAAGCACAGACCTCTCTGAGGAAGCACAGACCTCTCTGAGGAAGCACAGACCTCTCTAAGGAAGCACAGACCTCTTTGAGGAAGTACAGATCTTTCTGAGAAAGCACAGACCTCTCTGAGGAAGTAAAAACCTCTCTGAGGAAGCATAGACCTCTCTGAGGAAGCACAAACCTCTTTGAGGAAGCATAGACCACTCTGAGGAAGCACAGACCTCTCTGAGGAAGCGTAGACCTCTCTGAGGAAGCACAGACCTCTCTGAGGAAGCACAGACCTCTCTGAGGAAGCAAAGACCTCTCTGAGGAAGCACAAACCTCTTTGAGGAAGCATAGACCACTCTGAGGAAGCATAGACCTCTCTGAGGAAGCATAGACCTCTCTGAGGAAGCACAGACCTCTCTGAGGAAGCCCAGACCTCTCTGAGGAAGCACATATCTCTGCGATGAAGAATAAACCTCTCTGAGGAAGCACAGATCTCTCTGAGGAAGCACAGATCACTCTGGGGAAGCACAGACCACTCTGGAGAAGCACAGACCACTCTAAGAAAGCACAGACCACTCTAAGAAAGCACAGACCACTCTAAGAAAGCACTGACCACTCTGGTAAAGCACAGACCACTCTGGGGAAGCAAAGACCTCTCTGAGGACGCACAGATCTCTCTGGGGAAGCCCAACGTCTCTGAGGAAGCACAGACCTCTCTGGGGAAGCACAGGCCTCTCTGAGGAAGCACAGAACTCACCGGGGAAGCACAGGCTTCTCTTAGGAAGCACAGACCTCTCTTCGGAAGCACAAACCTCTCTTCGGAAGCACAAACCTCTCTGGGAAAGCACAAACCTCTCTGGGAAAGCACAAACCTCTCTGGGAAAGCACAAACCTCTCTGAGGAAGCACAAACCTCTCTGGGGAAGCACAAACCTCTCTGAGAAAGCACAAACCTCTCTTCGGAAGCACAGACCTCTCTTCGGAAGCACAGACCTCTTTTAGGAAGCACAGACCTCTCTGAGGAAGCACAGACCTCTCTGGGGGAAGCACAGACCTCTCTGGGGGAAGCACAGACCTATCTGGGGAAGCATAGACCTCTCTTCGGAAGCACAGATCTCTCTTAGGAAGCACAAACCTCTCTGAGGGAGTTTGTAACATCTGCTGATATAGACTTGACTAAATGTAAACTCTGTCAGCAGGACTATTCGCAAACTTTTTGTCATTATATAATGGAATGTGAAAAAATCGCGGAATTCAGAGATAACACCATCAATGGTGTCCAAGAAATGTGTAAGTACTTCATTCATAATGATGTGCTGCCCGAAATCTTAGCGAAGTATGCAAAATTTGCTTACTGTAGGTAATGCATGCACATGACTGTAAAGCTGCCGCCCAGTTTGGTGGGTGTGGAGCAAGACTAGTAACTGTGTGACTCACCATAGATGTAAAGTGCCTTGCATAGTGACTGTTGTGAGCCTCTTGTTGAATGACTTGTGATACAAAAGATTATTGATGTGTGCATTTATGTAGGTGATTGTATATGTATGTATATATGTATATGAATATGTATTATATTATATTATATATATATATATATATATATATATATATATATATATATATATATATATATATATATATATATATATATATATATATATATATATATATACATGTATGAGTATGTGTACATGTATATATAACATTAATAATTGTGAAACTAGCGTCAAAAGATTGTTACTTGCTTAGCTAAACGAATTGGAGGGTTCAGTTCCTGAACCGATTATGTGCCTCTGTAATCCTTTACACCACCACTCACGGGATGGGTATGGGGTGCATAATAAAGAAAGAAAAAGAATTGGAAGCACAAACTATACAAACTTTTCAGGATATAAGAAAAATAAACAATGTCAAAGTGTAGCATTAAACTTAAGGGAAGTAGAGATGCAAGACTAACGTAGGACAACGTTTTCTCGTTTCGAGATGTTGAACTTTTAAGTGCATTTCCCCCAGACGTCTTAAGCGGGAAATCAATGTAGATCTTGAATAAACGGAAGATATCTCGGAAGTAATGAACATTAACCTAATGGGGTAACATTTTAGCCTGATTACAGCGTCATGTACAGTTTACAAACAATAGCAGTAGTGGTGGTTGTAGCAGTTGTAATTGTTGTAGTCGTGGTTACAACATTTTTAAACCATTGTATTACAAGGTTTGCTGTTTGTAAAGTGTCGCTCTCTCTCTCTCTCTCTCTCTCTCTCTCTCTCTCTCTCTCTCTCTCTCTCTCTCTCTCTCTCTCTCTCTCTCTCTCTCTCTCTCTCTCTCTCTCTCTCTCTCTCTCTCTCTCTCTCTCTCTCTCTCTCTCTCTCTCTCTCTCTCTCTCTCTCTCTCACTACTAACACCAACTTGTACCTGGAGTAATGGCCAGTGGAGGCGAGACGACACCGTGGAGGCAGCGAGCGAGCTCCGCGCTCTTACAAGCGCTGTCAACCTTTACTGCTGCACCCATTATTTCTCTCTCCTCACACAACCATTAATCTCCACCTTTCCCTTACTTCCACCACCCAACCCCCTCTCCTCTCCCCCCTCCACGAACACTCCCCCCACCTCCCCCTATCCCTTTTCCCACGGTAGCTGTCTGATGGAGTTGTGGAGTGGACGTCAGTGGTGGAGATACGGGAGGTGGCGCCCGGGGACTACGGCCGGTATGTGTGCAGTGCTGTCAACGCCCTGGGCAAGCATTCTGTTCCCTTGGTGCTCAGCCCCCCCGTCCCGCCCGCTACGCCTTCACACCTCACGGTAAGTATCCAACAACTTTTATACACAAACAGTATACTTTATACGTGTGAATTTACAAATGCCGTTTAGGGATGTTGGGGGGCTTAAGCCCTGTGAGTGAAATGCATCTCCTGTTTTCTATCCAAATTTTTTAATTTTTTTAAAATTTTGCCCCGAGGGGGCGAGTTTATTGGGCAGCGCCACTCATCTTGTGAGTGGACACACCGCCATAGCAGCATGTACAACACTCCCCAATAGGAAGAAAACCCGCTCCAATATTGTGACTTGTTGCGCCGTATATGTATTGCATGTGACTTTTTAAAGAAGTGGTCTGGATTAATATTCTCTAGCGTGTTCGGTAATATTAAGATCTCGATAAGATTAGCTTTGTCAGGCCTGTTTTGTTGTGTTCTTAGTCATGTGACCCTCAACCGTTCTTGGTAGGGAAGATGTCTTTGTTCTGGGATGATTTTTATCGCGGTGTGTTGAACTTCTTCCAAAACAGATATGTCCGAATGCGAGGTGTCCAAGCTTGGATCTCTAAGATTGTGTCGCATCGGGGAATTGTACAGCCGAATAAACACTTTCTCTTTGTTCAACTTTCATTACCTGCCGCCAAACACACACTGAAACTACGACGTTGGTACAACGTTCGAACAAGTTTTAACACCTCCTAACCAGTTATAACAACCAGTATAGCAAGTTGTAACAACGTTCTAATACGTCATAAACACGTTAAGCCAAGATGTAATAACTTTATTACAAGTTGTAAAAAGCGGAAAATAGAGACAGTTTCGGTTTGTGTTTCCAGGGCTGGTGGAGCCTAACTCCTAGGTCCTTTTCTTCATCAGTCTCCAGCATGGTAGTGTTGTTGAAAAGACAGTTGTTATGTGCATTGTTATGCACTACGAGTAAGGTAGTTGTTAATATTACAAAGCATTTGCCAGTCTTCTGGCTATTTGGGATCTGTTTGTTAGGCTTCAGTATCGTTTACGCCTCATACTTTTCCATATATCTTAGTATCGTCTGCAAATTAGATGATGTGGTTTGTTATATTCTCATCTGTGTCACTGATGTATATAACAAAAATGGTTGGGCCCTTGCGGTGCCCCACTCACCACATTTTTCCAGTCAGATTAATTTCTATTTAGGACGGCTCTTTACTTTCTTTGTTTCAACCATTGTTTATCCATTCTTGTATTTGAAACATTTATTTCATGTTCTTGTAAATTTTATTGCTTTACTTCTTTTGGTAAGCCTGATCATTAACTATGGCTTTGTGCTTTATGTGACTGTTTAGCAAGCTTTATTGGTGCTGTGTCGCTTTTCTTAAGTTTGTGACTCTTCCTATGTGTAAAAACTATATTTACGTTCCTTCTTTTCATAGTTTTCCATCTTCCTTTTCATGTACTATTTCTTATGTTTATTTACATAAATAAACAGCTTTTATCCTATCCTCGTATTACTTGTAAGTGTTATATAGTCATTCCTGAATGGAATGACTGAATGATCTGGGCTGTAGGAGACTCGAACCCTGGACCTCAAGCGTGTGGGGGCCGAAGCTCTGTCGACTGGGCTATGAGTAGTTCAATACAGTCATACAGGTTTACCGCTTTCTCCTCATAGGTTCACATTTTTGGCTGTCTTGTATTAACTACTGAACCTTAGGCAGTCTTTTTGCCCCGGTGGGCTATGATGCCTTTGTTGTGTAACGTTCCTTCCTCTCTCTCTCTCACTCTGCCTTTAAACATTTTGGTTTTGTGTAAGCCATCACATCTTGCTCTAATCTGTCCCTTAGTTCAATATCTCCTTGGACTTCATAAAAGTTTCCCCATATCTTCCCATTTCTCTCGTCAATAAAACAGCTTAAAGTTCTTCCTGGGTCCACTGGTCCCTCTGTGGGCATGAACTCAACTCTCAACATGATAGGACGCCTGGTCACTGACCCCTGCTGGTGTGTAGCAGTCTATCCTCTTTATATCTGCATTATTCTGGCCGAAGATGAGATTTAATCATGTTGGATCAACACTTCCTAATAGTTCCTTTGAACCTCGTTTTCTGTCTCGCTGGCAAGTGGCATCAGAATGTTTATCCCCGTCAATTGAACAAGTTTGGTGTTCGGGTGTGTGCGCCAGTGTGTTCGAGTCAGTCAGGGTGTGCAAGTCAGTGTGTGGCTGTCAGTGGTCAATGTGTGTGTGTGTGTGTGTGTGTGTGTGTGTGTGTGTGTGTGTGTGTGTGTGTGTGTGTGTGTGTGTGTGTGTGTGTGTGTGTGTGCATGCGAGCGCGCTATTTATTATCACTTTTTCTACTGATGTTTCTGAAACCAGTGAAGTCGCTTCAGTGAAATTTGACCAAGCTATTAGTACTGTAACATTCCAGAGGACGTCAGATATTGGTGGATTTAGATTGCGCTGTTTTTAAGAGTTATTTTTTGCAAATTACAAATATTATAGTACAAGCACGGCTCCTTGCGTCACCTACATGACCATTATCATCAAACTTTAGGACTCCTTTCTTCTTGACCGCGCTGTGGGATAAGAGGTATACAGATCTCTTAAGCAAACAAGTGCTTCGTGAATCCTCGAGCTGGTCTTCCACTTGTGACCCCAAGCCTCGCTCCCTTCCCATCACAGGTTGAGAACGTGTCATCCGACGAAGTGTGGCTTCACTGGACCCCCAACTTGTCTAGGACTCGCCCGTCTGGGTACATCGTCAGGTACCAGAGGATCGGGGCCGCCGAGTACCAGGTGAGGCTATGATGACAGCATGGTGTTATGTGGTGCTTATATAACAGCGACAACGGGGATAGTGAGAGCTAGCTCCTTGTGCCCCGTCCCTCGTTTGTACTGACGTCCTACTAACCTCTCTCAAATTAACATCATATTTATTTTTAAACTTTTGGATGGAATTGACTTCAACAACCTCTGCCTGAAATGCATTCCACATTCCTGCCGACCGCACAGGGAATGGAAGCTTCCTCACTTCGACGCAATTGCATGGCCAGTTTTCAACGCTGTTCCCCTTGTCCTGCCTCTTCTTAATTCAATAAGATTCGTTTATCTATTCTCAAGATTTTGTATGCAGTGATCATATCACCTCTTGCTTCTGTCCTCTAAGACGTTGTGAGGCTCAGTTCCCTCACCCTGTCCTCATAGCTGGTGTGGTGCATGTGGGGGTATGGAGTGGGGGAGTATGTTGTGGTGCGTTGCATGATGTAGTATGGTGGGAAATGGTGTAGTGTAATATGTTGTGGTCGGGCATTATGTGGGGCACGTTTGGTATATTGCAGTATGGCGTGTTGTGGAATTCGGTGGGTAGTATGGTGGGGGTATAGTGTGGAGTATGGTGTGGTGTATTATAGTGTAGTGGAGGATATAATAGTGTATTATAGTGTGGTGAGTATTTAATTATCTGACAAACGGAGGCATTAAATTCAGACAAATACTGCGTATCAATTATACTGTATACAAATATGTTTTTGAAAATATGACTTTGCAATATTGAATATCAAAGTTGTCCCGTTTGCATAATCCAAACAAATGATGGAACATATAAATCATAAACACACATTTATTGCTAAATGCACCATTCACTTGCGAGCTTTTATTAATTATTTTCATCCAATTTCGGTACACAGGTATTTATGAGGCTTTCTGTAAACTGTAAACTAGATAAAGGTTACATTGTTTGAGTCGGGAGGTGCTGTGTGACCCTAAGAACCCCCATCTCGCAGGATGGTTTGTCATACATGGGAATGTAAGTATGGTAAACTTTGAATGTATTATGGTTTCATATAGTCGGAGATAGGCTTATCGAGATTCATCCCTCCTTCCCCCCCTTCCCTACCTGCCCTAGGCCGACAAATGATGCAGGATAGGCTTCCCCAGGATGCAATAGACAACAGTTGTCTAACTCCTGGTTTTCAAGTGCTTGAAGAGCAGATAGTGAGTCACAGAAAATTAATCCTTCAGTTTTTTCAGTGTCTTCTGATGCCTAATTGAATTGCAGTTTATTGGTTTAAGCCGACACTGTTAGCCTCCTCATAATCCACTCGAAAATAGCTCCCGGTGACTGACAGACTGAGACGGTGTGACCAGCTGTCATGCGAAATGGCCCCCGGATTAGCATTTACAGAGTACCAGCTATTGGCACAACCCCCGTAGCTCTTCATATAGTATACGGCTGGCATATAAATACCCATGTACCTAAGGATGCTAATACAAAGAGAAAGGTGTTGAACGTTGCCCCTGTGTCTCCCTCCTCACCGGGAGTATGTGAACGTGAGCGGGGGAGAGAGAACGTCGGTGGTGGTGGAGGAGCTGGCAGCCGGCACCAGGTACTCCATCAGCCTGCAGGCCTACAACCCGCAGGGACTCTCTCAACACACTCACCCTCTCACCACCACCACACTCGGTAAGTACTCACGCTGTATGATAACCTTTCAGTGTGATTTTTTTTGGGGGGAAGGGGGAAATAATTGCTGTTTTTTCAATTTTGCCCCGAGTGGCTAGTTTACTGGGCAGTACCACTCATCCTGTGGCAACTAGATTCCTTATATTGAATCGACATCTAGACTACGAAGTTATAAAAGCTGAACAACGGTGGAATAAAAAAATAGGAGATATGATTATGACATACAAGATACTGAGACAAAGTATCAGTAGTTAGTAAAACATTTCCAAGAGAAGAAGACCATAGGTGGAAATAGTAACCAAAGGTATAAGAAAATACACATTGTATGAGAACCGGACATATGGAATGGGATCAGTTATGAGTTACGTTTCATCAGGGCAGGAATTTATCAAGCATATACGCGTCTACTTACGAAACCTGTCCATCTTGCCTTAATCATGGTGACTTACGATACTTTCCTTAACAGTTTGTGAGCTCCAAAGCGCTACGAGGTTGTAGTGATAATAACCTGGGGTTGTGAAGTTTTAAAGTTCCAAAACTGTTTAATAAATACATACCGAGTTTCCATAATCGAGGAAAGATGTACAGGTTTCGTAAATAGACACGCAAATATTTGATGAATCCTAGGGTAAATACTTATGAACAAGCGAGACAGAGAGGTTTTACTTCGTGTCCATATACACTACTAGGGAACACACACACACACACACACACACACACACACAGACTTACGCCTCTAGTCTCCCCGCGGCACTGATCAGTGCCATGTGCCACCGTCTGCTGCAGGTGTGGCCGAGAGTGCCAGTAGCAGCACGAGCAGCAGCGAGGGAGGAGGGAGGTCGAGGGTGCCGCGACTCATCCTACTCATCATGACGCTGGCAGGCACGGCGCTCCTTGCACTCAACATGGCTATCATCGCCTGTTTCGTCCGCCGTCGGGCGGCCCACAACGCCAGAGGAGTCTCAGGTGGGCACAACACTCCTCACTATACAAAGTTTTATGTCAACAATGGCTTAGATCTTGCCACAGTTTTTTTGGACAATGTTTTTATAAATACGTGGAAATTTATATCGTTAGTGCACACTTTGATAAAGCCATTAATAGCCCAGACGTCTCGCCTTGTCCGGAAATCGAATTGGGGGTCCTATCGGCTGTGAGTCGACTGCGCTAACCACTGTGTCATTGTATGTTAGTGAGTTTGAGTGTGAAGTTGTTGTTCAGTTGCAACAAAACCTCACATTGGGATTTATTAAACAGTTTACGTGCTCCTAATCGTTACGAGGTTGTCCATACTAATAATAACCTGAGAGATGAGGACGTTCCCTTACCGCTTTGCAGCCCCATCGAAGTAAGAGTCATACCATAAGGAGACGTGATTTTTTTTGTGAGTCCAGGCCTGAATGTCATGTAATATATATATATTTTTCCAGCATCCTCCAGCAAGACGACGACACTGGAGGTGTTCAGCCCAGCGACCACCCCCGGAGGCACCACCCAGGGGGACGAACTACCCCTCACCACCACAACAACCACCACCACCGACCTCACCACCATCGGGGGAGAGGTAACGCTTCACCCTCGCTTACTTTGCTTCACATAGGAAAGATGCTTTTATGTGATTTTATTGTTTTTTTTATTTGACCCCGGAGGACAGCATCAGTCATCTTGTGAGAATATATATACAGTCAAAAGCAGCATGTACAGCATCATCATCATCATCATCATCATCCATCGAGCCCATCCTCGCTCCTTCTCTCAACGGATGAAAACTCGCTGGGTTGTTCATCTTGTCCCTTGTACCTACGAAGCTAAGACTTATATAACTACTTCAACCATCAACTACGGGAAAGTTAAAGGCTTCATAGTCGCTTACTAACCAACCAGCAAATATGTTATAGTTCTGAACGCAGCCCAGAACTAAAGGAAACTCTCAGCTAAATACACCCCCACAGTGAGTCTACATCTTGTGTGGCTACACTGTTACATTTAAACTCTCCCTAACAATTCAGTAAACTCTCATCGAAGCTGTAGAGAAAAAAAAGAGAGATCGCGACACAGACATAATCAAGCTACTATGAAAGAAAAGAACACGAGACAACACTGGATTCGCAAAACTCAATCTCTTCTCTCATCTCCCCGTTGCTCTCTGCTCGTTGGTGTAAATATATCAGATCTTGAGAGGTTCCCGCCTTTCTCTACGTCTGGGGATCCGCTGCTTCATATCTCACCCAACATTGCACTTTATTTTCTGATATATGTGTGTGTGAGTGAGTGAGTGTGTGTGTGTGTGTGTGTGTGTGTGTGTGTGTGTGTGAGTGAGTGAGTGAGTGAGTGAGTGAGTGAGTGAGTGAGTGTGTGTGTGTGTGTGTGTGTGTGTGTGTGTGTGTGTGTGTGTGTGTGTGTGTGTGTGTGTGTGTGTGTGTGTGTGTGTGTGTGTGTGTGTGTGTGTGTGTGTGTGTGTGTACTCACCTATTTGTGCTTGCGGGGGTGTTGAGCTCCGGCTCTCTCGTCCCGCCTCTCAACTGTCAATCAACTGGTGTACAGGTTCCTGAGCCTATTGGGCTCTATCATATCTACACTTGAAACTGTGTATGGAGTCAGCCTCCACCACATCACTTTCTTATGCATTCAATTTGGCAACCACTCTGACACTAAAAAAAGTTCTTTCTAACGTCTCTGTGGCTCATTTGGGCACTCAGTTTCCACCTGTGTTCCCTTGTTTGTGTACCACCCGTACTAAACAACATGCCCTCGTCTACCCTCTGAGAATTTTGTAGGTGGTAATCATGTCTTCCCTAATTTCTGTCTTCCATTGACGCGAGGTTTAATTCCAGTGGTCTTTCCTCGCAGCTCATACCTTTTAGCTCTGGGTTCTTCTCTGCTGGCATACCTGTAAACTTTTTCTAAATTCTCCTTATGTTTGATTTAATAGGGAATCCACGCTAGAACCGCATATTCCAGGATTGGTCTGACATATGTGGTATACAAAGTTCTAAATGACTCCTTACGTAAGCTTCTAAAAGCAGTTCTTGTATTGGCCAACCTCGCATATGCCGCTGACGATATCCCTGTAGGCCTCAGGGAAGCGGGCCGGCAGGATATCATGCCCCGATCTTTCTCTCTTCCCTATTCCTGAAGGCTTTCGTCTCCCAATTGCTACCTTATGTCCAGTCTCCTGCTCCCTTCAGTTATTTATCACTTTACACTTGCTTGAGTTCAATTCAAGTAGCCAACTGTTGAACCATACCTTTAGTTTGTCCAGATCACCTTGAAATTTTTTGCTGCCAGCCTTTGACTTAGTCTTTCTTGTAATTTTAGCATCGTCGGCAAACATTAAGAGGATTGCTGCTGTTATGACGCATTTCACTATATCCTGTATTATATGCGTGATTATGTATGACAATTGTTTATTATTTATTCTATAAAGGTTAGCCAAGTTTATGTCATTACATAATGCAAACTTTGAGATAATATATCATGGTTTTGCAGAGAATAGAGTGTCAAACTGGTGTTGACGACGGCGAGCAGACGAGCCTCTTCCATGGGGATGTGGGAGGCACGCCGGTCCTCAGTCCCGATGAAGAATTCCTGCGTAACACCAGCTTCAGGAGCAGGGGCAGGAGTCAGCAGAACGGCAGAGTCCTGGCGCAGAACGGCGGCCACACCCTCCAGAAATATCGAGACGACAGCTCCTATTACTACTCTCCCATACCCCAAAACAACTACATCCCTGGCGACGAATCCCTAGTCAAGCGCACCACCAACCCTCCTGACGTCTGCCCCACCACCTCAGACTCTGCTAGAACCCTCAACCGCAGAAAGCAGCAGCAGCAGCAGCAGCGGGGCACCACCACGCCCGGCTGTCCAGCAGACACACTTGGTCCTCTTCCAGTCCGCTCTCCCTCCCCAAGTCAGGGCGACGGGTCCAGACAGTCGCCGGGGGACCAGATCCACGACCACCTGCACCACAACCACCAGCCTCAACCACAACCACAACAACAGACACAGAAGTGGTCCTCTCCCAGAGAAGGCGGGGGCCAACAGCTGCAGCTCTCGCACCCTCAAGTACAGCATCTGGACCCTCACACTCATAACATCTATGACGTCTCTCTCACGCCTACTGGTAAAGTACCTCATAAACTATACATAATATATCAAGAAGTAACACTTTAAAAAGTGCTTGTCAATAACATGTGAGCAGCAGTAAGAAAAGTATTATGCAAATCTCTGTTTCGATAACTATATATATATTTTTTTTCACGATTCTTTTAAATAATTTTCTTATAGATGTATCGCGTTCCTCTGGCTCCACTATACATTCTTTAAAGCTATTTAAACATGTCTTACCTTCAGTATTGAGACTTTGACCACATTAGTTCATGACTCGGGCTTTTTAATTGACCCCCTTCCCGTAGCACATCTCGATCTACACCCAGGGATATACACTCCAGGGATATGTACACAGGGATATGCACAAATAAATATACACCCAGGGATACTGGATTATCCTCCTGTTGAAGTGCCTGATATTGATAGTTTTATGTTCTATTGACTTTTTCTTTAGCTTCACGAGAGCGCATAAGCACACATATAAACACGTGCACACGTACATACGTGCACACGTACGTACGTGCACACGTACATACGTGCACACATACATGTACACTACAAATATTTAGGTTAAATGGTGTTCGCTTAAGAGCACATATCCCAATTTATGTTTTGCGTTGAGTGCGGCACTTGATAATATTAGTCACGGATGGATAAATACTGAATAGCTACTAGCTAAGCGATACGTGTATACAGACCTAAGAATACAATGACAGTATTACGACCATTGCTATAACAACATGGCTCGGGCAGAAGTGGTGGAGAGTGCACAGTTCTGCCTCTGTTCGCATCTCGGCGACCAGCACTGATACGTGATTTAAAAACACGACTTATCTCTTTGACAGGAGTCCCTAGGGGGTACGCCACGGTGGGACCCCGCAAGCACCGCCAGACACCGCCCTCGTTCTCCACCCTGCAGCGTCCAGGCGCACCGCGACCCTTCACCACCACGGCCACCAGCACAGGCGTGGGTCAGCTGGCCTCCCCGACGGTGCAGGAGGTCACCCACGCCCAAGAGCGCCACAATTATCACCACCAGCAAGAGCTGGTTGACAGTCGGCATGCTCATCACGACACGCTAGCGCACCGGACGCTTTCGCAGGGCGTTGCTGGCGGCCCAGGAGCTGGTCAGGACGACAGCGGATCATCGGGCTACGGTGGCAGCCCTCGTCAGGATACTAATGTCCCTGGAAGTGCCAGCTCTACCACAGTAGCTCCTTCTCTCAATCCAGGGGCTGCTGGGTCCCTGGTGTCCCATCTAACTCCTGTTTTTCTACCATCATCCAACACCTCCGGCACTACGCTCAGTAGACCTCCGTCGTCTTAAGATTGCGCAAGGAAGGACAAACCCGAGCTGCCTACCTTACTATCCGGAAATCGAAGTCATAGTGCTGTGAGACAGATTAAGGAAAACATTAAGGATTAAGGACATTTCCAGGAATCTTGCCGGTTCAGTTTCTTGAAAATAATATGTTAAGCTACCTACCTACCTACCTACCTACCTACCTACCTAATGTTGATTGCCTCACCCTCAACTCCAAGTGAGAAACGAGATTATACACGGCCAGTGTGAGGCCAAATTGAATAGGAAACTTCACAGACACTACGAGCACACATTAATTTATTTATACATGATCTGCCTTGCTCGTCATGTGTCATGCTCTCTTAAGTAATGCTTAGTGATGAGGACATGCTCATGTGGGGAAATATAATTGTCGAAGCAGCATGAAGTGCACCACACCGCTCCACTTCTCTCTGATACTTTTGAGGTGCTCGAGCAGATCGTCTCTTATATAGCGAGTGTGATGAAGTATGTAACCTAGTTATTCTCTGCAGTCCTTATAGACGTTACTTCAACGGTCAGGACCACAGTGTTGTGATGAGGTGTTGATTTGAGACGTCAGGGAGTGTCTCAGAAGTTGTCAGGTGAGGGGACAAGCTGTTGCCACGTGAAGGGACAAGCTGTTGCCACGTAAAGGGACAAGCTGTTGCCACGTGAAGGGACAAGCTGTTGCCACGTGAGGGGACGAACTGTTGTCTCGTGCAGAAAGAATCATCAGCTTCAACTTCTACATTACACCAAACCGAGCAAGATCTTATAGTTTCTACTACATCAGTTAATAAATGAATAGGGTCAGAAACTGGACTTATATGTTCTTGTTCTTGGTCTGAGCTGATGTATGTGATCTTTAGTTGTAAATAAGCATTTCTCTTGAGAGAAATATATAAATCAGCGCTAAAGCAAACGTAGAAAGTTAATGTTTTATGATCAACTCCTGGAAAAAGGTGCAGAGCTTCACAATAACTTATTTATCCATAAGGATGTGCCGAGAGACTTATTTTTATATGCGGAACTGTATGTACAAATAAAACTTGAATTCAGATGTGTCCAGCCTTCCAGCGTGGGTCTTTTATTTTATAATCCCCTTTTTCAGATGCAGCTCAAGGAAGTAATTAAACATAACATATGTGTGTGTCACATGGCAATATTCTGAGTGTAATCTCTCATTGTATGTGCACAGAGAAAAGTGGTACATCTCTCAGTGTATCTCTCTCTTTCCCTTAGCAAGTCACTTAAGTGTTGGATTTAACAGTGACCTATGGGAGATCACTAGGCCTAAGCACCGTGTTTCTTATCAGACACAATAGTCATTCCAACTCCCAAGGAAGAATAAGAATGTTGCCTACCGAATTGTAAGATAAGGTGTATGATGTAGATGTGAGGAGGTGCTATAATGGTAAGGATGAGGCTCGTCAGGGTGATCCAAACGACGAGAGAAGTGGTGTGACAGCTAGAGTATAGCTTCCTCCGGCAGTCTCACTCCGTCAAGTTGACCAGGTTGTGCTACGGATGAAAGACAAGAAGGCCAGCAGACAGGAGGCAGGATGACTGAGCATGGAAGAATGGGTAAGAAAAGGGAAGGGTCATTTTATCAAGCGTACCTTTGACTTTAAGGAAACGTAGGTAGTGGTTCAATTGTATAAATCTCTGGTGCGCCCCCATTTGGATTACTGTATCCAAGCATGGAGACATCATTTTCAGAACGACATAGCTGCTCTGGAGAAAGTGCAACACCAGGCAACAAAAATCCTTCCAGAGCTTAGTCAACTCACATGCGAGGATCGGTTGAGGGTCACAAGGCTAACATCACTGCAAGCCAGGCATGACAGGGCGGATTTCATTAAAAAATGTAAAATACTGAACAATTTGGAGATGTTGATCCGAAAAATTTCTTCAAAAGGTCAGATGTAACATAAACAAGGAAAAACGGTTTGAAGCTCAACAAGCCACAATGTAGGACAGAACAGGAGATGTTTTGATGCTTTTTCACCCACAGTTATAAACCCTTGGAACCGTCTACCCGACGAAGCCGTAAATACCAAAACTCTGTTAACTTTTAAAGTACAGCTGGAAAAGATTGTCAAGGCAAATGGGGAACCTTCGACAAGCTGCCAGGTTCCTGTCCTCGTCGAGGCCACTAGTGTTACTGTCTCTCAGGTAAATGATAGGTAAACGAAAAATCCTCAACGAGTCAAAGGACCTGGATAACAAGATGGGTGCCGACGTACATACGATCTGCCAAATTCCCGTCACCCTAAATACGGCCATTTGGAGTTGGGCTTGAGACCTATCAACCTCCGGAGAATTATTAAGACAGAACAGAAACGGTTGGGCAGGTTTTCTTTAGCCTGTTGCTCCTTTTCACTTTACAGTATAATAGGTACCCTGGAATTAAGCAATCGTTATGGGTTGCATCCTTGTGGAACCTTGATAAGCCACAGTACAAGCTTCATGTCCCCGACCTCGGGCCAATGTATACCTCGATAGTCTATTCACAGAACAGTATATCAAGCTGACGTTGTCGTCACACCCAGAGACACTAACACAACAAGATAGAATTTTAGTTAGTCAATTACATCACTATGGACCAAATATCTATCCTGTGTGTGAGCGGCACAAAGGATAAAGTATTACATAAGTGGTTCAGAACGTTGAACAAAAAAATACTTAAGTTTACCAGGAAACGTTCATGCAGTGTTGACATAAAAGAAAATGGTTTTCGCTGTCCGTGGTAATGGGGCTAACTATTTTAAACAAAAAATACAGCTGCATCCCGAATTACTACCATTTTCATTGGTCCAGACGGGAACAGGAAGTCTGTAGCTAACTTGCGAACGGTTCTCATATTCTGTATCATACATTGTTTGTTTTTGTTTTATATTCAGCTACTTGGAACAAAAGTTCCAAGTAGCACGGACTATGATGAGCCCGTAGTGAACTTGTGGACTTGGTGAGTATTTCACCAACTTTCTAATGCCTTAAAACATTTTTATTTTACTTTGGCTGGTAAATATTCTTTTTTAACATGGCGCAGTGATATACACCTCACTCAGTGCCACTGTCTTAGACCAACTTCAAATATAAATAAATTTCTAAGTATATCTAGATATTAAAAACCTACTTCAAATTGGGCAAGATACCATAAAATCAAATATCTTTGATTAAGTATAACAAGACTTAAATCAACAATATATTTCGAGGATAAACTAAAGAAAACGTTTTGAGAACATAGTTTTATTGTTGTTTTAGATTCAGCTACTGGGAACAAAAAGTTCCAAGTAGCACGGGCTATGGTGAGCCCGTAGTAGACTTACCTGGCACAGGAGCAGGACTGTGGAGAACATAGGTCAGAGTCATCTTGAGGAGCTAGAAAAGCACCTTCTCTGTCTCAAAGACAGCGCAGCAGGCCTCTGTCTTTCATGACAGTGAAATACTTCAAAAACAATTACCGATTGTTGGATTGTGTGCCATTTTAAACAACGTGATTTATTAACATATGCAATTAGTTTGAGGTTAAATGTATGTCTAAAATTCGACTTGTGATTTTTTTGTCCATTATTTATGTAACATCATGAATTTACAACTGTATTTTTCTTTTTGTTGACCACTTGGAATAATATTATAATGTGATAATGACCGCTGTAAACAAAAGAAAAAGTCCCCAGGATCAATTAATGAGAGACGTTTCACAAGCCGGCGGCTTCCTGTCCCCGTGACTACTAAGAGATGTGGGACCCTTCAGTAAATATAAATTGTTTATTTCTCTCTCTAAATCACTCTTTTTGTAGAAGTCATATACGTAAGTTGCTAACACGGCCTGGTTAGTCCTATATATCAACCAAGTAAAGGAATGTTAACCAAATATAATTGTTATGTCAATTTCTGAATACTGTAAGAGTGAGAATGCGCCTACTTAGCTATGTATAATTATTATTATATTATATAATATATATTATATTTATTATGCGCTGGCTACTCACGTGACCAAGTCTCGTGAAGTATCTTAGTTATCAAGAACACGAAGATAAAGATATTTATTGAGTGTGGGAATATGAAGCGACTGATCCGTAGTTCATACTTATTCTTTATGTTTTAAGTCTCCAGCCTTCCTGCAAACAAATATTGTTTCACGAGAAACGACTTTGGCATTGTTGAACGAGTGATCCTCCAGCGACCGTTGGCGCTGCTCCAGCGACCGTTGGCGCTGCTCCAGCGACCGTTGGCGCTGCTCCAGCGACCGTTGGCGCTGCTGCAGCGACCGTTGGTGGTGCTCCAGCGACCGTTGGTGCTGCTCCAGCGACCGTTGGCGCTGCTCCAGCGACCGTTGGCGGTGCTCCAGCGACCGTTGGTGCTGCTCCAGCGACCGTTGGTGCTGCTGCAGCGACCGTTGGCGCTGCTCCAGCGACCGTTGGTGCTGCTGCAGCGACCGTTGGCGCTGCTCCAGCGACCGTTGGTGGTGCTCCAGCGACCGTTGGTGCTGCTCCAGCGACCGTTGGCGCTGCTCCAGCGACCGTTGGTGCTGCTCCAGCGACCGTTGGTGCTGCTCCAGCGACCGTTGGCGCTGCTCCAGCGACCGTTGGCGCTGCTCCAGCGACCGTTGGTGCTGCTCCAGCGACCGTTGGTGCTGCTCCAGCGACCGTTGGTGCTGCTCCAGCGACCGTTGGCGCTGCTCCAGCGACCGTTGGTGGTGCTCCAGCGACCGTTGGTGCTGCTCCAGCGACCGTTGGTGCTGCTGCAGCGACCGTTGGCGCTGCTCCAGCGACCGTTGGTGCTGCTGCAGCGACCGTTGGCGCTGCTCCAGCGACCGTTGGCGCTGCTCCAGCGACCGTTGGTGCTGCTGCAGCGACCGTTGGTGGTGCTCCAGCGACCGTTGGTGCTGCTCCAGCGACCGTTGGTGCTGCGCCAGCGACCGTTGGCGCTGCGCCAGCACCATAAGCTGCAACGAGTTGCAACCCCCACTAACCGGACATCACGGACGAGTGAATATCCACATATGGACACTAAGTCGCCCACCTCGTGAATAATTATCTTTTTCGGTAATCAGAAAATAGCAGATAGGTAATTAATGTTAAATTTCATTCCCTTGGATAATCAGAGATTCAAACTCTGGACTCGAAAGAGGGAGTCTGCTTTTTATGTTTTGTTTTTATGTATATATATATTCTCATTGTCCTCTACAGTTAATAGTGTTGATCACACAGCTGGTTGTGGTACTCGCGTGGTTCACGTCACGTCTCGCGTAGTCATGGTCATTATCCATGACACGTATGAATAGAAAACTAATTAATTAATCAATTTATTGTCCCCATTGTTTTTGAAGAGCGTTAGCTGCTGGGATAAAAGCTGCGACAGGACAGTTTTGAAGGGCCAGGGTTCTAGGCTCATCGAAGTGCAACCCGTTCTCGCAAATTCGTATAGTCAATATTGACTTATTAAATAAGTGCATAGGTGATATACTAAACATAATAGATACCCTTAAAAAACTTCATAGAAAACACCGACCTTACCTAACCTTGTTAGTATGTTAAGATAAGCATCTTATTGCTTCGTAATTACAATTGTTAGTAATATAAGACACAATAGTTGCCAGTCACATTTTCGAGCGCTTCAGATGGGAAATACAAAGGAAAACAGTCCCGCCTCTCAACTGTCAATCAACTGGTGTACAGATTCCTGAACCTACTGGGCTCTGTCATATCTACATTTGAAACTGTGTATGGAGTCAGCCTCCACCACATCACTGCCTAATGCATTCCATCTGTTAACTACTCTGACACTGAAAAAGTTCTTTCTAACGCCCCTGTGGCTCATATGGGTACTCAGTTTGTGTGTGTGTGTGTGTGTGTGTGTGTGTGTGTGTGTGTGTGTGTGTGTGTGTGTGTGTGTGTGTGTGTGTGTGTGTGTGTGTGTGTTGGTGGGAGGGGTGTGGTGTGTGTTGGTGGCAACTGAACCTCTCTGCGCGCCCTGAGAAAGATTCGAACACAACAGAGTGCCACAAACCGCTATAAAACATCACGACTCCATCATGGGCCGTTGACAAGATATCATGTTCACTAAATAACCATCAACACGCAAGAGTTTATTTTTTCCGATATTTTGTTGTTTCAATACTAGTTTAAAGCATATATTATATGTCTCGAGTGATGGCCGGGACATGACTCTCCGTGACGCGACAAATATAGACGCCTTGGGTGGCACTGTGCCTAAAGCCGAGGGGAAGGGGGTAGACGGGGTGGGACACACGTTAGTGAGGAACCCACAAGTTAGTCTGCCCTTTACACACCGCTGTCAATACTTGTATTCCTCGCGCTTTCTTGAGACCGGTGCCTCTGTGTATGAAACTCCCGTCGCGTTGCGAGTGGATTAAGTGGCTGCGCCACAGGAAAGTGTTTTGCGCTTCGGTGGCGCAGATTACGGATGATCTCTGTTGCCAAGGAGGAGGAGGAGGAGGTGTCGCAAAGCTGAGAATCGCTGTCACCAAGGTTGGTGGTGCGACGTAGTCACCATCTCCACACAACTGCCGCCTTCACCTCAGGTAACTTTTGTATATATACATTATACTGTTTATATAGATATAATATTATATATATATATATATATAATTATATATATAAATAATTGTGTGTGTATGTGTGTAAGTGTTTGTTTTACTGAATATGATAGTGTTAGATGAATAATTTCTGGGGCCTACGCAGATGCTGGGCCCCCGATTCAAGGCACACGATTTTGCTTTCGTTATGAAGGAACTATTGGGTCGAAACTTGAATCGGGGGCCAAAGCTATGTTCCATGTTGTCTCAATGCTAAATTGGCCATATATAAGCATGGTATTTGTAATATCCTAACTCGTCCACTATGACGTCTTCTTGAACATCACCAGTAGTAACTAGATCATTAAATATCAACATGAACTAAGCCCCTGCCTCTCCTCCCGGCGCCTTCACTTCAGCCTGTGATCATATATCTCGGTCCAGCTTTAATAATGATATCTGTAGCAGCCATTTGGTCAAGTGAAAAGCAAAAACAGGACTGTTGGACGCACAAAACACCACGTGTTACTGAATTAGCTCAAATGGTGTACTTAAAATATAAAAAAGTAAGTAAAGGACTTTACCTAACCTGTCGGAGGCTTAAATAAGCAATCCTAGGCCTAGTATACGCTGTCTTAGGCCTGATATAATAGGTATATGTGCTATAGTGTTATACTAGACTAGGATAGTTTGTCTGATTTTTGTTTTTGCTTTTTTCGTGCCATTCACAACATAGTATAAAACGTGAACATTCATGGTTGCAACAGTCCAATATTGTACGTTCGAACCATATAGTTGGTACAAGTGTGATCATTTTCGGAGGATGGGCTACTTGTTAGCTTTAGTGCAGTTCAGAATGCACGTTGCAATGATGCAACTTGTGTTCTATCCAATTGTGCAGGACATCAATATTGTTAAATGTGCGTACTTGTCTAAACTATGCCCTCTGTACCTCCCAGGTTGTCTCCCGGCGCCTGAGAGCCAGATGGTGGGTGAAGCGTGGTTGTGGGGCGTGTTGGGGGTGGTGGTTGTGGTGGTGGTGGGGGGTGGCGACGCCCGCGCCGCCCACCAACACCACCAATTGGTGAAGGAGAAGGAAGTCACCGAACAACTGGCCCTCATAGATAGACTGGTGGATATAATGCTCAACGTCACTCGCTGTGATCAACACAAACCGAAGGATGAGATCAAAACACCGAAAGGGAAAGCTGAAGGTGAGTTTAAAGGATGTTAATTCAAGTACATTTGTAGTTCAGTACATTTGTTGAGACGATAAAATACACCTCAAAGGGATAGAGTAGCTTAGGCTATTTCTACCCCCTGGACACTTCTGTTGAGGCTAGAGCAGCGTAATATAACCCTTGTGTTAAGTACCAGAAGGATTACTGTCCTGCTCGCATGTATGAGGTATAATATTGCAGGTATACTCGACTCGACTGCAGATATATTAGTTAGTGCTAATTACTCGCCTATAAACCTTAATATTTAACCCGTTTTCTTTTAACCCGAAAGAAAAACCATTTTCTTTCATTATTTAACAATTGTAATGATTCCAGTTACATATAAACCTATGTTGAAACAGCATACAATAAAAGGAATAAATGAATTGTGTACTGGAAAAACGAGGAGCTCCTGACGCCTATGATGAATGTTAGTTAAACTTCTATCCTTCAGTTATGTAAGTGAATTTCGAATTCATGCTTGTGTACGGGTTTTCTTCCTATTGGGGAGTGTTGTGCATGCTGCTATGGCGGTATGTCCACTCACAGGATGAGTGGCGCTGCCCAATAAACTCGCCCCTCGGGACAAAAATTTAAAAAATGTAAAAATTTACTGAATTCCCCCTTCACACCCAATTTCAATTCAATTTCTTTCTTTATTATCCCGTCTTCACAAATTCTGTTTCTTCCTCGCCCCGTGTGAGAGGAACGTCTGGCTGTTAGTACTCTGAGGGAACGATAACGTTTATTGCTTGGCTTTGATATCTTTCACCTACGCTCTTCGTGTCCCCCCCCCCCCCTTCATTAACTGAGGGAGATACTTATTATTACTGTATTACGATTCACTATGGGTGATTCACTGACCTGATTTACTATCCTGATTCACTATGGGGGATTCACTGACCTGATTTACTATCCTGATTCACTATGGGGGATTCACTGACCTGATTTACTATCCTGATTCACTATGGGGGATTCACTGACCTGATTCACTATGGGGGATTCACTGACCTGATTAACTACGAGGAACTCGCTGCCTTGATTTACTACGATTCATTATTATTATCATCATTTAATAAGACAATTCCCATGACAAATGATACAATATCCACACAATGCAAGGCTTACCTCACAGCTAGGCTAGTTAACTGAAGAAATTTAATATAAAAACAGGTCAGTTAATACAAAAAGTCCACTTTCTAAAGCATTAAAAAGTTTTACGTTAACTGTTATTTAATGCTCTGCTGCCCAGCCACTTGGGCTGGTTGGTACAGCGGAGGTCTCGCTTCTTGCAATTCGGCGTTCGATCCCCAACGGTCCATGCGGTTGGACGCTATTCCTACCCTCCCGTCCTATCTCAAGGGCAATATAGTCGTAACGGGTTAGCGTTTCATGCTGACCTTACCTTAACCCTTACACTGCTCCACCCGTTTTGTTTTGTTTTTTTGCAATTAACTCTTGTGCTCCAATCATCACTATGCAATTCCCCCAACCCATTTAAGTATTTATAATCATTCACACTTTAATTTAGTCCTTTTAAGTAGCTGATTGATTGATAAAGATTAAGCCACCCAAAAGGTGGTACTGGCATGAATAGCCCGTAACTATATAAGTATCTGCGCTGTTTAAGGGTTAATGAGCTGCTGTGATTGCGTTACAGAAGAGAAACCAGCTGAAGACGTCTCCGAGTGCGACTACTCGGAGCTGAGTGAAAGTCACACCATGCTTAAGCCCAAGAATGATGCCTGCGAGATCCACAAGACCCACCTGACGAAGGAGGAGAAGGAGGAGGTCCTCTTCCTCCACAACACCCTCAGAGCTAAGGTCAGAAACGCTCGACTCAGCTCATGCTCGAGTGACGTCGAATCAAAGCCATCAACATTGATTTATTACATAGTCAACGATGATTTGTTACAGCAACATTATCAATATTGATTTATTGCGTAATCAACGATGATTTGTTACATCAGCGCACTTGTCCCAGACTGACCCGGGAGCTCCGGGTGGCGTACACCAGGGTCTTCGTGTCCTCCTGGGGATACTAACCTAAATGTTTCATCAGTTTTGTGGGACGGAAAGGGTTCCAGTTGCTGGGTCGCCATGATCCATCCCTCCCATGGCCCACGGCTTTTGTCATATTTACGTTGTGCTGGAGGTTATTCCTAAATATCTGATTGGTAGAATGTGGTGTTTGTCTCCCGTCATCCTGGTCCCGCCCTTTGTGTCCCGCCCAGTCTTCATTTCTCCAGCAACGTGGGTTTCTATGTATTTCAGTCTGTCCCCATTGTTGGCATGTCCTTCATTGGTGTAATTACCTAAGTGTAGTTACAGGATGACAGCTATGCTCGTGGTGTCCCGTCTTCCCAGCACTCTTGAAATTATATTTCGCGGATCGGCGTCGTTAACAGAGAAGCGTATCTTGTTTCTCCTTTAATTTTTCCTAGAACTCAATCCGTAAATCTTTTTACATCCAGTTCCCAATTTACACTTGAGTGGACAGTGAAGGAATGGTGCCCAGTCGTCCCTATCTTGCCCAGGGTTCGAACGGAGGTCATTCTCGTTTGCGAAGCCAGCCGGTGAGCGCGCTATCCCGTACACCACAACGAGTAGATCAAAAACAAGGAAGGATGAAAGTCTTGAATGCTCGACCTGAGGACCGTTCGAGCCCTGACGGCGGGCCCAGTTATTAGTTGTATTAGGGTAGGAGTGTATGTGTGAGCCTGGGGTTGTGTGATCCTGGGGTTGTGTGTGCGAGGGGTTGTGTGAGCCTGGGGTTGTGTGTGCGGGGGTTGAGCTCTGCTCTTTCGGTCCGCCTCTCAACTGTCAATCAATCAACTGTTACTAACTACTAACTAACTCATTTTTTTCCCTCACACACACACGCACAGGAAGCAGCCCGTAACAGCTGGCTAACTCCCAGGTACCTATTTACTGCTAGGTAACAGGGGCATCAGAGTAAAACAAACTCTGCCTATCGTTTCTCGCGGGCGCCAGGGATCGAACCTGGGACAACAGGATCACGTCTACAGCGTGCTGTCCGCTCGGCCATCGGCTGTGTGTGTGTAAACACTAAAATTCCCATTGCAATAATTGAAATATCAAAGTCTTCTAGCCATCTGCTTGCTCCTCACACGTCTTTCTGTTGGGCAGGTGGCGAGGGGTGAGGAGACCCGGGGAAGCCCGGGTCCTCAGCCACCTGCAGCGAACATGCGCCAGGTGGTGTGGAACGACGAGCTGGCTGATGTGGCTCAGGTAGGCGCCACCACAACTCTTACTTTACAATGTAGTTTTCAGGCGGGTGATGCCAGTGTGTCAGTGCCTCGAACCCCGGCAGTTCGAGGCACTATACCATCACCAGTGGCATGGCCGCCTCACTGACAGGTAATCCTGCTTTCACCTGTTGATGAAACAGTAGGAATACTGACATAATGAAACAGTGGGCATCAGGGGCATCACCCTGAGCTGCACCACAGTAGCAGGCAGGTTGGGCCTGCTTAACCTTGATGCATGTTTGTATATAAGTTAATTGGTGATAAATAATAGTGTCTGTAATGAGAGCGGAGTAATCTGAGAGCGTGCCACTGTCGCAGGCGTGGGCGGCTCAGTGTCCGAGGGGCCACGACGCGTCCAAGGAGAGGAACATTTGCAGCAGGGACTACTTCGTCGGCCAGAACATCCACTACTACTGGGGCTACGACGAAGACTCCGTGAGCCAGACGTTTCTCCTCCTCTTACTCTTCCTCCTCCTCTTACTCTTCCTCCTCCTCTTCCTCCTCCTCTCCTCCTCCTCCTTCTCTTCCCCTTCTCTTCCTCTTCCTCCTCTTGCTCCTCCTCCTCCTCCCTACCATGCACCAAGCTCGTTGGATTCGGGTCTATCTCCCACTTTCCGGATTAACATCTGGAAAGTGGACGAAAGCAGTCATTGTCTTCCCAGCTTGGCGCCTTCTTTTGATAATTACTTACTTCCCCTTTCCGGAATTCTTACTTCTCACCCCATACCTTCTCTGGACTCTTGAATTCTCTCACAAATCTTACGAACACTAGACAGTAACCTATACAGCAAAGGTTGAAATTGCCTTAATAACCAGCAGTTTTCGACCGTATTAGTACATGTGGTACATTAATCTTCATTAACATTATCTACTTGATAACCGATCCCTTAATTAAAAATACATTCGTAACGCATTTTCAGTGTTACTGATGATACAATGATCTATTGAGCGCTAGTAACAGGTGAAGGGAGTCGCCACTCTACGGTCCATGTAATGTGGTGATATTCATTTAATATCATAATAATCTTTATATAAAAATAAATACATTATATATAATGGAGAATTTGTAGGTAAACAGTGCAAATTACATAAAGTTACTCATATACTGAGCGTTTTGTGCCTATTTCAAACTTCAAATACAAGGTTCTTCCCGTTTATAAGCTAAAGTTGGAGGGACTACTCCACTCAGCTATATTTCGTAAGCACCTCAAACACAATATTTATCTACCCTTTAGTTTAGTCTGTCTCCTATCCTTTTAACCAGACGAGTAACTCTACAAGCCACCAACAACGGCCCTCCGGGTCGTTAGAACGCGTCAGGAACAAATAGTTCATAGTACCGCCATCGTTCATAAATTGAACCTGGTACAGCCATTGTTCCCAGAACAACTGCTTCCAAGTAAAGCCATTGTTCCGAAAGGACTGTATCCTTATTACAGTCATTATTCTCAAGAGGACTGCTCCCTAGTACAGGTCACTGTACCCAGGTACACTCCTATCTAATACAGTCACTGTTATCTGTCGTATTAGCCCAAACTATACTGCTGAAGACTCGTTCTTCCTCTACCCTTACCTTGGCTCGGGGCTCAGCTCCTATACAGTGGAAGATTACTCCAAGACGTGCACCTGTTCCCCTTCTTCTAACTTCTTCAGTCTTTCTCAAACTTAGATAGTTTGGTATTTTGACTTAAGAAAGATATTTTGAACTTGGATTAATATATATGGAGCTTCGATTGGTATATTAAACTTAGCCTGGAATCTTGAACTTATTGATATTTAGAATTTTGATCATTTGAACTTTGATATTTTTGAACTTGACTGATAACTGGAATATAAACTAATATTTTGATCTTACTGCTGAACTGAGACTGATATTTTCAATTTTGGTATTTGGAACTTTAGCATATTGTGAACCTGCACTGAAGCATTCTTTATCCAATGATATGCATTGTTGACTGAACAAGATTATCCTTGCAACTATAATACTAATTTTAAACAAAATACAAGTCAGACGACCAAACAGTGCCAGCATAACGACCAACAGTGCCAGTATGACGACCGACAGTACCAGTATGACGACCAACAGTGCCAGCATGACCAACAGTGCCAGCATGACGACCGACAGTACCAGTATGACGACCAACAGTGCCAGCATGACGACCGACAGTACCAGTATGACGACCAACAGTGCCAGCATGACCAACAGTGCCAGCATAACGACCAACAGTGCCAGTATGACGACCAACAGTACCAGCATGACGACCGACAGTACCAGTATGACGACCAACAGTGCCAGCATGACCAACAGTGCCAGCATGACGACCGACAGTACCAGTATGACGACCAACAGTGCCAGCATGACGACCGACAGTACCAGTATGACGACCAACAGTGCCAGCATGACCAACAGTGCCAGCATGACGACCGACAGTACCAGTATGACGACCGACAGTACCAGCATGACGACCGACAGTACCAGTATGACGACCGACAGTACCAGCATGACGACCGACAGTATCAGTATGACGACCGACAGTACCAGTATGACGACCGACAGTACCAGTATGACGACCAACAGTACCAGTATGACGACCGACAGTACCAGCATGACGACCGACAGTACCAGTATGACGACCGACAGTACCAGCATGACGACCGACAGTACCAGTATGACGACCGACAGTACCAGCATGACGACCGACAGTACCAGTATGACGACCAACAGTGCCAGTATGACGACCAACAGTGCCAGCATGACCAACAGTGCCAGCATGACGACCAACAGTACCAGCATGACGACCGACAGTACCAGTATAACGACCGACAGTACCAGCATGACGACCGACAGTACCAGTATGACGACCGACAGTACCAGCATGACGACCGACAGTATCAGTATGACGACCGACAGTACCAGTATGACGACCGACAGTACCAGTATGACGACCAACAGTACCAGTATGACGACCGACAGTACCAGCATGACGACCGACAGTATCAGTATGACGACCGACAGTACCAGTATGACGACCGACAGTACCAGTATGACGACCAACAGTACCAGTATGACGACCGACAGTACCAGCATGACGACCGACAGTACCAGTATGACGACCGACAGTACCAGTATGACGACCAACAGTACCAGTATGACGACCAACAGTACCAGTATGACGAGCGGTCTGTCTCCCTCGCCAGGACTGGAGTCGAGGGATCAACGAATGGTATGACGAAGTGGCCGACATGCCCAGCTCCTACGTCGCCGCCTTCCAACTCCACCCCACCAAGAAGATTGGTCACTACACACAGGTGAGGCGTCCCTCTCTCTCTCCCTCCCTCTCCCTCTCCCTCTCCCTCTCCCTCTCTCTCTGTCTCTCTCTCTCTCTGTCTCTCTCTCTCTGTCTCTCTCTGTCTCTCTCTCTCTCTCTCTCTCTCTCTCTCTCTCTCTCTCTCTCTCTCTCTCTCTCTTATACAATTTTTATATCGGTTAATGACAGAACACCTGCTTCATGAAAGACGTTCGTAGCCTTAGAGCTACGAACTAAGGCTACGTTCGTAGCCTTACTAGTTCTTAGTTCGAACGTAGTTCTTAGTTCGTAGAACTAAGGCTACGTTCGTAGCCTTAGTTCTACGAACAAAAAACGTAGGTTCTAAGGTGTAGCGAACTAAGGTTCGCAGGTGCCTTCTCTTCCCGCACCTGCGAACCTTAGCAGGTTAGAAGGTGATCGTTTCCCCTCAAGATGTGATCTTTTGCAGGTGGTGTGGGCGGAGACGAGCGAGGTGGGGTGCGGCCTCGTCTACTACGAGGCCGAACTCAAGGGCAAGGTGTACCCGGAGAGCAAGATCTACGTCTGCAACTACGGCGAGGCTGGCAACATCAGGAAGTGGCCCATTTATGAGACGGGGCCGGCCGCTTCCCTGTGCACCAAGGGCGTGTCCCCCGCCTATCCGGATCTTTGTATATAGCCCTATATGCATAGGCTACAGGGGTGTCTGGGGCTAGGGCCCTGGACCTGGGGTGGCTAGAGCCATGGATCTGTGTGGTTAGGGTCCTGGACGTAGGAGGCCAGGGCCCTGGACCTAGGAGGCCAGGGCCCGGAATCTGTGGGGTCTTCAGATAAGAACTCTCAGATAAACTTGCAGAGAACAAGAAAGTGCTAGCACACTCTAGCTGATCCATTGTTTATACGACACACAAACCCAGTAGAAAACTACATGTTGTCACAGATCGAATAAGACTTTGCTACAAGTATCTGTCACTTTAGGGGGAATCCCACGAAATATTAAGTGCTTGGGCGAACACAAGGTAACACTCTAGGGAGTCTAAGAGCACTACAGCTTACACTCAGTGAATTTAGAGTGCCTCACTCACTCTAAATGCCTAAGTGAGGCATTTAGAGATCCACACACTTGTGTAGAACTCTGTTTGCACAGTATTTCCGCTTCTAGTAAATAGTGGAAAATATTATGTCAAAAGGCTAAAAACTGGGTTCCCTGAAGCTATTAAGAGCAGCACTTCCTCCAGCCTCTCGTATCAATGTTGAAAATTATGTTACTTCCTAAATGATTTTGTAATAGTCATATTATTTTGTCATACATTGTTCTGTGGCAGCACAAGCAGTGTTCTGTTATCAGCAGGTGTCGTTGTAATTAGATATAAGGTGTACAAATAAGTTATATAAATCAATGTCAATTAAAATCCGCTATAGACTGATTTAGACCTTCTGAACCCCCGCGGTAATCCCTTTTTGTGGCGCCGCTCACAGGATGAGTATGGGGTGCACAATAAACTACCGCTCACAGGATGAGTATGGGGTGCACAATAAACTACCGCTCACAGGATGAGTATGGGGTGCACAATAAACTACCGCTCACAGGATGAGTATGGGGTGCACAATAAACTACCGTTCACAGGATGAGTATGGGGTGCACAATAAACTACCGTTCACAGGATGAGTATGGGGTGCACAATAAACTACCGCTCACAGAATGAGTATGGGGTACACAATAAACTACCGCTCACAGGATGAGTATGGGGTGCACAATAAACTACCGCTCACAGGATGAGTATGGGGTGCACAATAAACTACCGCTCACAGGATGAGTATGGGGTGCACAATAAACTACCGCTCACAGGATGAGTATGGGGTGCACAATAAACTACCGCTCACAGGATGAGTATGGGGTGCACAATAAACTACCGCTCACAGGTTGAGTATGGGGTGCACAATTAACTATCGCTCACAGGATGAGTATGGGGTGCACAATAAACTACCGCTCACAGGATGAGTATGGGGTGCACAATAAACTACCGCTCACAGGATGAGTATGGGGTGCACAATAAACTACCGCTCACAGGATGAGTATGGGGTGCACAATAAACTACCGTTCACAGGATGAGTATGGGGTGCACAATAAACTACCGTTCACAGGATGAGTATGGGGTGCACAATAAACTACCGCTCACAGAATGAGTATGGGGTGCACAATAAACTACCGCTCACAGGATGAGTATGGAGTGCACAATAAACTACCGCTCACAGGATGAGTATGGGGTGCACAATAAACTACCGCTCACAGGATGAGTAAGGGGTGCACAATAAACTACCGCTCACAGGTTGAGTATGGGGTGCACAATAAACTACCGCTCACAGGATGAGTATGGGGTGCACAATAAACTACCGCTCACAGGATGAGTAAGGGGTGCACAATAAACTACCGCTCACAGGTTGAGTATGGGGTGCACAATAAACTACCGCTCACAGGATGAGTATGGGGTGCACAATAAACTACCGCTCACAGGATGAGTATGGGGTGCACAATAAACTACCGCTCACAGGATGAGTATGGGGTGCACAATAAACTACCGCTCACAGGATGAGTATGGGGTGCACAATAAACTAGCCACTTCTGACGTCAAATTTATGGGACCCGCAGCCTCTAAATTAGATGAGGCTTCCGCGGCTAAAAATAGAGGAAATAACAAAATTATAATTGGCCCATACGAGGCAGCTGCTATTTGTGCCTAACTCACACATACACGTGCCTAACCTACTCTTCTTTCAACAATCCATTGATCCTACGTCAATGTTACCCGGCAATTTGTTCCATAAATCTACAACTCTGTGGCCATCACCTGGGCAGTCTATGGCTATAGTACAGCCACAGACAGCCCCGGTAATTCAGTCTGTGTGCAAACTCCTAGGTGACTTAGAACAGAACACAGTTCTGTTCTGTACTCGCCTTACCTCCAATCTTGATCGTCAGCGCATAATATGACAATTTTGTTCATTCTTTGACATAAAGCCTCCATTATAATACGATATATACAATATATTTAAAATATACATTGATTTAATGTTGAAAAACAACTGTCTTGCATTGGGATGTTCAAATAAAATGTACAAATAGTCGTGTTGTTCAATATTCATTAGAACGGGTTCGTGCCATTACATATATACCCGAAACTAGAGGTCCTGTTAACCAATACCTAATGTGTGATTACATTTTGTTAAACAATTGGAAGACGTTCCCTCGAATAAGCTATTGGGGAAAAGATGTTTTGATGAGAGTTGTTGCCGTCATTTTGAGGCAAGAGAGAGAGAGAGAGAGTACTGACCCGACTCGAAAACAATTTATGACCAATCCTGGGATATATGCCGTAAGAACATAAGAACATAAGAACAAAGGTAACTGCAGAAGGCCTATTGGCCCATGCGAGGCAGCTCCTATTCTATAACCACCCAATCCCACTCATATACTTGTCCAACCCGTGCTTGAAACAATCGAGGGACCCCACCTCCACAATGTTACGCGGCAATTGGTTCCACAAATCAACAACCCTGTTACTGAACCAGTATTTACCCAAGTCTTTCCTAAATCTAAACTTATCCAATTTATATCCATTGTTTCGTGTTCTGTCCTGTGTTGATACTTTTAATACCCTATTAATATCCCCCCGGTTATGTCCATTCATCCACTTGTAAATAGAGTTTAGACGAACAGAACCCAAGTAGAAATACATCGAGTGTCTCGTGATGATCCATATGGTTCTATTGTTCTGTAGTGCATTATAGACGGTTAATATTTGTACACAGCAGACTGAAATCTGGTTACAAAACTTAAATTCTGAAACTGCCCCCGGCATTGTCCGGGGACAGGGCGACTTCTACCCACGCTGTAGCCTAACCGCGGCATAACAGCCCTGATGTTTAACGTACACTGCTTCTAATTTTTGCTTTGTTAGTTTTATTTAAGATCTGTAGATACACTGGATGGTATTGGAGATGCGGCCGGACTAGAGCCTTATATAAGTATAATTGTGTGGTCGTGCCAAGGTTAAGCAATCTTCTCAGTTAGCCTAAGGCTGTTTTTATTTTAATTTGTCATTTAAGTGAATTTGGATTCCCGTTTTTTTCGTCTTGAATCCCAGTACTCTGCTTACATTCAAATATTGGATTGGGAGGTTGTCAAGGACAGCGCGGCTTTGGGTTTCGTTTTGCAATATGTATTAATTGGAACTTTTGTCTGTTGGTACTTATTTTCCATTGCCTTTCAAAGTCGTTTATCACTTCTATTGCTGCCTTGGTTTTGTTAGCCAGTAACGTCTTTGATTGTCCTGGGTGGCAGATTATCTGAGTGACATCATTCGCATGAGTGATTCGTTTCCCGTGTGAAGGAGGTGCAGGTCAGCATTGTATGCAGACGAGGAGTCACAATAACGTGGCTGAAGATATGATGACCAAACCACACACCACCAAATGAAGAATCAACGATGTTTCGGTCCGTCATGAACCATTATTAAGTTGACACAATCGTCATAATAATGGTCCAGGACGGACCGAAACGTCGTCGTTTCTTCATCCTCTGGTGTGTGGTTTGGTCTGCAGTGTATATATACTGAACAGAGAGGGTGTTCGGCAGCGTCCCTGTGGGACTCTAATTTTTAGTTCTATTACGTCACCCAAGTAGCTGCCAATGCTGAATTTTGGCTATTCTGTTATCTATGAAGCTACACAGTGTGCCAGGAAATCTCCGCGGAAGCCTACATTCAGATATCTTGTATTTTAGACATCCGACTTTGTCCAAGGGTTTCAATACATCTTTGAGCACTACATCACTGTTTTTACGTGGTATTGGCTGTATATTCATAAATCAAGGCTATAGCTGTGTGGGGGTCCGTGTGTGGTTTCTGAATCCATGTTGCCTGATGTTATACCTTTGTTTCATTTCCATGTGCTTCAACAGTCTGTGGTTAATTATTTTCAAATATTTTACCTGGAATCTCGAATGAGGAAATCACTCTGTAATGTTGTGATAGTGGCATTTTATGTGTAGGTGGGGGGCGGGGACAGTCCAGATGCAAAAGCTGCATTTAATTTTCAGTAAAACTGATGTCACTAGCGGAACGGCTATAGCTAGGGGCGTGGATGGGGTTACCATCACCCCAACCACTCCTGCCTTACTCACTCTTTCTCCTGGCCAGTGGGCAAACGTTGAGGGTATTCAAAATGATGCAATGTGAGTCATAACAGGGGCTCCCAGATGGACTAAAATATTGAACCGAAGACTAGACACCAAGCTAACATCGATTGAAATAAGGGTAACAGGGATTGACATTTTCATTTCTTCATTTCCTGATGTGTGGGTTGGGTACCACCTCCCCCACTTCCGCCTTACCACCCATCCTCTCACCAGCCTCCCAACTCTAATATAAAAGAATTGCTTGACAGAATAATAGAGAATGACCCCCACTCATCAGAAATCTAGTACACAAGCAAAATGTACTCAAGAATGCCACCACCATGATTCAGTGGACGCAAGAAGTGATGCACCATATTTTGCAGCAAGAGAGCTCACTCTTACATCACTATTACACCAGTAAGTAAAATTACTGGTCACTATTACACCAGTAAATAAAAGAATAACACACAAAGCTCACCTGATGGCAGCCTCAAAATGGATAATCAAAATGAAGGAAAATTATACTACAATGGAAATGCAAGTTATCTGAAGTTCTCCCCTGGAGAAGGAAAACGAAGCCTCATTTCTTATATAACAACATACCTACTCGAATTATTCATCATAATCTTACCCATGTTTACACACATGGTTAAGATTATGCACCCACCCCAAGGCTCACATGGGGGATGATTATGAATCATTAGGGATAGCACCCCACTGAAGCAACAACGCCCTGAATATTACCTATATGCGCCACAGAACAACACTTGACCTTGACACATAATCGGAATTTTCTAATGAAGAAATGCCTGTTGGTCGGTGATGGTAATACCAAACACCCATACTTTGATACCATCTGTAATCAACCCACTGCCAATGGACGGACACTCTCACTATGTTAAGGGAAGTGAAAATATCAGGCCTGGGTAACGTTACAGCCTACTCGCCTCAGAGGGAGATTAGATTACGCTCTCTCGCTGAATACTGAGGATAGGGATGCCAGCACATCATGTAGCGAGCAGTGGACGCTGCTTACCACCGTCGACATGAGCAAGAAAGACAAATAAAAGGTCGTCACTCGGAGCTGATATGAGGGCGTACTTTATAAACAAGATGAGTTTACCGAATACCAAATCCTTGAAGACATGGACAAATTTGCTAATAACCTCAGTAACCAACTTTAATTCTGGCAGAGTCCCGAGTCGTACGAATGAGCATGACAACCCCCAAAAGAAAAAAAATGGTACGAAAGTGTTTACATAAAGATGTTCAATAAAGATGTATGGCATACGAGTAGAGAGTACCGAAGACATCCCACTGACAGAAACCAAGAGTTGTTTTAAACTGTGCGTCAAGTAACCAGGGAAGAGAAGATTAAAAAACGAGAAGCACTCTTGTTTCACTCTCTCTCCACACATAAGCATAGTTCCATCACACGAGGAGAGTGAATACCTCGAGTACTATCGGTACCTTGGGTCACTGTGGGCTCTAACAAGGGAGTAAGGCGCTTCAAGCTTTACTCCTTATTCAAGCCTTATTTAAGGTTCCCAAGGCCCGGCGCACAGCTACGTGTTGCTGTTTCTCCTAAAGAAAGATATGTTCGATCAAGCTGGACCTGAGAGCCATGTTTCTTTCACCCTGATGCCCCTATTCACCTAGCAGTAAATAGGTACCTGGTAGTTAGACAGCTGCTACGGGCTGCTTCCTGGGGGTGTGTAATAAAAAGGAGAGCTGGTCGAGGACCGGGCCGCTGGGACGCTAAGCCCCGAAATGATCAAAATAACTTCAAAATAGGAGTCCTGGACCTAGCGTAGATTTATGTAGGTCCTTAAGATCGTAGTTAGGACGCGACACATTGATCCCAGATGCATCAACAGAGTCACTTCTCCGTCAGTTTTAACGTTCACATTGATGTCCAACATCTGTGTGTGTGTGTGTGTGTGTGTGTGTGTGTGTGTGTGTGTGTGGAGTCCGGTCTTCCGCGGTTAAACATGACATCATTAAATAAATGGGATATTTTGGGGCATCATGTGTATGGAAGATAATTATAGAATAGCTGTTGCCATATTTTAAGCGTTGTGTACATCACACACTTGGATTTTGTGATGTCTGTTTGTCACTTTAAGAGTCAGCAATGTTGATGCAAAATCCGGAGTGAATAATTGCAGTGCTAGGTAGTTTGGCGCTGTATAATGAACTCCCGCAGTACATGTGTATAACAGTTTCGCTGTACGTGTAGTCCACACTAGAATCGAGTCATTCTGGATAATACATCGCTAAATATACACCGTTGTATATGCAGCCTTGCTGCATAAGCACGTATAATTGTTACCAGTCTTAAGATAACGAGGTTATCACTGGGACTAACACGTAGATCCAGTACGCCAATGGTTATCACTGTTAGGCGAACAGACCTATCAGGCGAAAGGGAACATGTCCAATGTTTCTGTCCCGCCAGGGGATTGAACCTCGGTCCGTAGGTTGTGAGCCGAGGACGTAGACCACTGTGCTACAGTTGAGACCTTTGCCGATGTGATCTTCAGCCCACTCCAGTGGCTAATTGCACCTGGTATTCGTTGTAGGCGTGTATGTCAACACTGTCATATCAGGGTCCGGTCAAGAGAGCGCCGTGTCAGCAGGTATAGAGTGCATGTTACATCAGCATCTGTGATCCCAGTCACTCACAGCCTGACACGCCCCGTGTCTATGGTTTTACGTGACTAATTGCGGTACAGTCGCCCAGATCTGCACTAACCCATACCTTCTTGCGAGTATATGTTATATATTTAATATATAATATTAATATATGTTGTACCTATTAGGTCTAAGATTCATAACAAGCCGAATTTTCTTGAAAGTATATATTTTTCAAAAATGTTTTACTGTGGGGTGATGAAACGTTTCATTATAGTAAAAACAAATCGTCATACATATTTTGAGTTCAAACTAATTTAGAAATTTGATCGAACCTAACCTGTCATAACTGTAAGGAATTTATATTCTTGATAATATTAATTGAAATAAAAGAATTTAAAAAAATATTTGAACATACTACGCTAAGTATATATATATATATATATATGAGTTTTCAGTTATATATATATATATATATATATATATATATATATATATATATATATGTGTGTGTGTGTGTGTGTGTGTGTGTGTGTGTGTGTGTGTGTGAGAAAGCTGCATGAACGCGCAAGCCATAGATCACTAAGAACTCTTTGACCCGGCCAGGATTCGAACCCATGCCGTCCAGGATCACCCCTAAACGTACACAGTACCGTGACCACCGCACCAACTATCATCGATAAGGATTGGTCAGTCATGGCGCTTATTAACTAAGCTCCCTGACTGATCAACCCCCGACGACACTCATGGATCCATTTGGGTACAGTTTTTCATCAAATTCTGGCGCATGCACGGGCCGCACTGAGTCTAACATGTGTGAGAAAGCTGCATGAACGCGCAAGCCATATATCACTAAGAACTCTTTGATCCGGCCAGGATTCTTAAATATTGGTGCGGTGGTCACGGTACTGTGTACGTTTAGGGGTGATCCTGGACGGCATGGGTTCGAATCCTGGCCGGGTCAAAGAGTTCTTAGTGATATATATATATATATATATATATATATATATATATATATATATATATATATATATATATATATATATATATATATATATATATATATATGTCGTACCTAGTAGCCAGAACGCACTACTCAGCCTACTATGCAAGGCCCGATTTGCCTAATAAGCCAAGTTTTCATGAATTAATTGTTTTTCGACTACCTAACCTAACCTAACCTAACTTTTTCGACAACCTAACCAAACCGAATCTATAAAGATAGGTTAGGTTAGGTTAGGTAGGGTTGGTTAGGTTCGGTCATATATCTACGTTAATTTTAACTCAAATAAAAAAAATTGACCTCATACATAATGAAATGGGTAGCTTTATCATTTCATAAGAAAAAAATTAGAGAAAATATATTAATTCAGGAAAACTTGGCTTATTAGGCAAATCGGGCCTTGCATAGTAGGCCAAAAAGTGCGTTCTGGCTACTAGGTACGACATATATATATATATATATATATATATATATATATATATATATATATATATATATATATATATATATATATATATATATATATATATATATATATATATATATATTTAGTATATTTTGGTAGCAGTCTTTCTTGTAAACATATGTTGTTAAATATGACCGAAAAAGTAAGATTAATAAGTCTAACACGAATTTTCTCAATATTTCTTATGTTTCTTTTTACTGTCGATGGTAATTGAAAAATCAATTCTCCAAAATTCATTTTTATTTCTAGTCTGACGCGACGCCTGAACGCGTTTCGTAATTACCTATTACATTTTCAAAGACTTTAGTTTACACACACACACACAACTATAACCTGTATACACGCTATTTGCTTCCATATATATACTCGTATTTGGGTGAGGTGATATAGTACAACAGTTTTGGATGAGGTGAACAAACTTATGACAAACACAAGACAGAACACAGAACAATGGGTATTAATTGGATATATGAGAGCATAAGAATGGAAGTCACTGCAAAGGACCTATTGGCCCATACTTCCTCTTGATGCTTCTATATTGGTATGGAGTCTTGAAGTGGGTAGAATATAATTGTGCATTAATTGGCTGTTGATTGCTGGTGTTGACTTTTTGATGTGTAGAATCTACACATCAAAAAGTCAACACCAGCAATCAACAGCCAATTAATGCATAATATATATTATAATATATATATATATATATATATATATATATATATATATATATATATATATATATATATACAACACGTGAGGAACACAAATGCGAACAAGCCTGAATGGTCCCCAGGACATATGCAACTGAAAACTCACACCCCAGAAGTGACTCGAACCCATACTCCCAGAAGCAACGCATCTGGTATGTACAAGACGCCTTAATCCACTTGACCATCACGACCGGACATAATGAGGTGATAGCCGAGGCTATTTGAACCACCCCACCGCCGGCACTCGGATAGTTATCTTGGGCATAGCATTTTACCAAATCACCTCATTCTTTGGGGCAACACGTGAGGAACACAAATGCGAACAAGCCTGAATGGTCCCCAGGACATATGCAACTGAAAACTCACACCCCAGAAGTGACTCGAACCCATACTCCCAGAAGCAACAGAAGCAAAGTCTGTTGCTTCAAAGTCCCAACTCCCAGAAGCAAAGAATGAGGTGATTTGGTAAAATGCTATGCCCAAGATAACTATCCGAGTGCCGGCGGTGGGGTGGTTCAAATAGCCTCGGCTATCACCATATATATATATATATATATATATATATATATATATATATATATATATACAGCAACTTAGTGTTGGGGTCCGAGGAAGTGTGGGAAGCCTCGCCAGAGATATCAGTGTAGGGAAGAACCAAGGCAGTGTGGCCTAGACCGTGAGAGAGTAGTGAGGTGGCCCCTCCCTCATTCTGGACTCCTCACTGTGCTACCTCCTCGCCCTCCCTCACATTCTCCTCGCTGCACGTGTGCCACAACGCTCCTGGCACTCAGGTAATCACACGGGCGGCATTAAAGAACGCTGCTGAAGGTTACTGTCCCTCACAAGTGCAGTAGCAACTGCACCATCCTCAGCAGCGTCACAGTCTTAACGTAACTAGCACGTCACAGCTTGGCCGAGTCACCTGGTGGCTCAGCAACACACTTAAGTGTCACCATAGTCGGAGACAGGAAGAATTGTTTGCTTATCGAGGTCTCCCCCGTGCCACATCCCAGCGCCACATCCCAGCGCCACATCCCAACGCCACATCCCAGGGCCACGTGTTAGCACAACACCCCAACGCCACATACCATCACAGGAGTCCCACATCATCCCACCAGGCTACAAAACTCCCGAAGGGGGCAAAACAAAGCGCTACAAAACGTACCCACATTACCACTTAGCAACTAAATATATATACAAATATATATAGAGAATCTCAGCAGACAGTGGCCCCGTACCCAATCTCTTACCCCCTCTCCCCCCACCACACTCCCCCAATGCCGCCCCCACACACACCCAAGAACACACACCTGTAGTAGCCTAGCTCCGGCAGCCATTTGTAAACTTGGCAGTGTGATCAGGATAGCGCAGTGTCGCTCTGATGAATCAAGGAAGCCAACAGTCCTGAAGACAAGGAAATGTGAACACCACAAGGAAACAAGAACAACAACAACAGGGGGAAGAAACAGACTTCTTCTTGTGCTGCTCGACGATTTATTTAGAAAAAACATACAATTGTTGGAGCAGTGACGTCATGGATGGTAAGGAAGTGATTTTTATCTTTTTAGTACATCTAATATTTGTGTTGCTTCATGTCTGTGTTTAACATGACTATTGTTACTGGCTTAGCGACTAAGCTCCAAGAGATTAACAACTTTTAACCGTTCATTGTATTCACCAGTGTATAACCTGTAACCCTTAAATACATAATATAGCGAAACAAAACACAAAGAGAAAGGATGGTAGGACAAAAGAACAAAAGTTTGCTTGTCTGTCCAAGGCAGGACGCCAGACACTTGAGGCTCTGGCTTCAGCCAACTTTTCAGTACGACACATGGGTGGTACGTGACTGTCATAGGCTGGTCGGGAGGTAGGGGTCGATCACATTTCCTCCCTTAAAGAAATATCAGCTCCGATAATGACCCCCCTCCCCCTTCCCCTCCCCCTTCCCCTCCCCTCTGCGATTTTCACGAAGTCTGAAATCGGGGATTAGTTTTTTTTTTTTTTTTTTGCAGTTTTTGATCAGTTTTTCATTCTCATCCCATTCTGTCTCTTTCCCTTCCTCCCTCCCTCTCGTTTCCTCTCCCCCTACCACTCATTCACTCTGCCTCTGTCTCCCTCCCCCCCCCCCTCTCTCTTTCTCCTTGTTCTCACCCCTTCCTCCCTCCCCATATTCTCTCCCAGTGGGTAAAGGATCCTTGACTAACATTCAATATTAATTAACGTTATTGGCGTTAAATCAACGTCATTGACGATGAATTCAACGTTCTCGACGTTTACTCCACATCGATCACAGTCGTAAAAATCTGTTTTAACAGTCTACGGAAACTTAAACTCACATTTCATACTTCTTTTAGAGTAGCTGGCATCCGTAATAAAGGCCGATCCTTCTTAATAAAGAGCGGCATGGGGCATCGACCCCCTGTGACACTCTCCCTGCGATCACAAATCACCATGAATCATTCTGTTCAACTAGCCCCGAGCGTCTGGCCTACAGCCTCGGACATAGTGACACACATTCAATTTTATATAGATTTCTTTAACCTTCAGTTGTAACCTTTATTTATTTATTTATATACACAAGAAGGTACATTCGGGTTTATGAGAGTACCTTATAGCACAGTTGCTTCTATAATGCCACTGTCTTAACCTGTAGCGCAGATTTTTAACCCCCCTTTTTCGAACCCAGTGTCTACCTATTCATTGGATCACTCAATAGTTTGAAATCGCTGTTTGGTGGTCTTTCACGGATTGATGATATATTTCAACACTGGTCTGTGTGTGTGCGTGTGTGTGTGTGTGTGTGTGTGTGTGTGTGTGTGTGTGTGTGTGTGTGTGTGTGTGTGTGTGTGTGTGTGTGTGTGTGTGTGTGCGCGCGTGTGTGCTTACGTGTGCGTGTGTGTGTACTCACCTAGTTGTGTTTGCGGGGGTTGAGCTCTGGCTCTTTGGTCCCGTGTGTGTGTGTGGGGGGGGGGTGTGCGTGTGCGTGTGTGTGTATTCACCTAGTTGTTCTTGCTGGAGTTGACCTCTGCTCTTTCGGCCCGCCTCTCAACTGTAACTAACTACTTACTAAAAAAAAAAATTCCCCCCCCACACACACACCCAGGAAGCAGCTCCGTAACAGCAGTCTAACTCCCAGATATCTATTTACTGCTAAGTAACAGGGATATCAGGGGTGAAAGAAACTTCGCCCATTTGTTTCTGCCTGGTCCGGGAATCGAACCCAAACCACAGAATTACGAGCCCTGCGCGCTGTCCGCTCAGCTACCAAACCCCCCCCCCCTGGTATCGTGTGTGTGTATGTGTGTACATACACATATACAAATACGCAGACATACACAGCAGAGTAGTCAGGGATGGATCCGGAGGTAATTTCCAGGTTAAGCTGATTTTAGAACTAGAAATGTGGCTAGGTAATATATATATTATAATCGTTACTAGTAACCTGAGATTCAAACCCAAGTATCCACGTAAGATCGATCCAAGAGATCCTGAGATCCAAGTCATCGGAGTGGGGTAATTGTCCCCGCTGGCAGTGTATTTATACATGCAGGTGTCGCTTCTTAGACAAAAACAAAAATGTAATTTTATATTGAAATTAAAATTGATGTTGGGTGATGTCAGGTGACAGGAGCCCCGCCCCCCCCCCCGTGGCAGGGGGACAGAAGCCCCGCCCCGTGGCAGATGGACAGGGGGCCCCCATAACACGTGGACAGGGGACCCCCATAACACGTGGACAGGGGACCCCCATAACACGTGGACAGGGGACCCCCATAACACGTGGACAGGGGACCCCCATAACACGTGGACAGGGGACCCCCATAACACGTGGACAGGGGACCCCCATAACACGTGGACAGGGGACCCCATAACACGTGGGCAGGGGACCCCCATAACACGTGGACAGGGGACCCCCATAACACGTGGACAGGGGGCCCCATAACACGTGGACAGGGAGCCCCATAACACGTGGACAGGGAGCCCCATAACACGTGGACAGGGGGCCACATAACACGTGGACGGGGGGGAGGCCCTTCCTCGTGGCAAGCTAATATAACCGTGATTCTGCAGACGTCTGCAACCTTCAACATGACGAGCGAATTGGAAGAACCCATTTATCCACTTCACGAGATTAGGCTCTGTGGGCTAACTTCTTTTCAACGTCACTAAGTTGGTAACCAGGGAGTTCCTATGGTGGTTTTATGAGAGAGGGAGGAGACCTTGTCGACGGTTCCTGCCTCCGACGATATCCTGCCGGACCACTTGTGTCCTGATCTCCTCCTCCTCCTTCCGGATATTCATTTCCCTTCTTCCCTCGACAGATAATCATGCCTGGAACTATAGGTACTGCGGTAGTGATGTTCGTCCCTTTGTTTCCTATAGAGTTGATGTTCTGAGGTCACTTTTTGGTCAGGCGGTCTCCTGGGCCTTATTAGGACGTCCTCAGGTCTGTTGGAGGACCTTGTAAGATTGCCTTCAGACCAGGGCTGTACGAGTCAACACTCAGTGCTGTACGATAAAGTTAGTACAAGATGGCGTAATTAAAAAATTATATAGCTTCAAAACAAGTCGTAAGAATATTAAATTTATCCTATTAGCCGTCTTCTAAATTATCATAAACTTGGAGTATACTAAAATACACAACATTTACTTCAATAATCGTAACACCGCGGCTCTCTGCCAAAAGCAGAGCCATAACACCATGGCGTGCTGCCAAACAGCAGGCCAAAAATCCCAGCCAGTGTTGTTGTTGTAGATATATCTACTCAGAAGGAAATATCCATGTAGCACAGGCTATAGTGAGCCCGTAAATCCCTGCCACTGTTGTTGTAGATTTAGCTACTCAGAAGGAAATATCCATGTAGCACAGGCTATAGTGAGCCCGTGAATCCCTGCCGCGTTTAACGCACATACAGTACCGGGACGACACTTCAATCCCAATACTCGGAGCACGTGTGCTCTTAAGTTTTAAAATCTTAATTCTGCTCTCCTTGGCACTCAAGGGCAGCTGCTGTGTAGGAAACGTCAGCTCCGTTGACTCGCTTGTTTGTTGTTTGTTGCTTTCTGTGTCAAGTAAGATTCTGAACCTCTTGGAGGCTGAGGCAATTTCTGAAGGGCAGTTGCGGGCACAGCTGCATCCCTTTCATTAAATGTATTCCTTCAATGTCTGCAAAGCCGATTTTGGTGATGGGATCTAAGGCTTGACAGTGTCTGAAGGGGACTGCTAATGTGTTGGAATGGAGGGTCATCCATAAGTCATGTTACGTGTGTGTATATCGGGAACTAAATGTAAAATGATTTACGGATTGTATTCTAGGGAAAAGGAGAAGAGAAACAACATAGGCTTCTCTGTTAACGACGCCTTTCTGCGTAATATAATTTTTTGTTTATTCTCGTGCGCCAAGACATGCAACAAAGGCAGATAAAGACGTAGTAATACACCTAAATATAAACAGAACTCCGCTGATCTTCACAACTTTCACTCCTGGCGTTGTGTACCCGAGCCAAAGTCAACATTAACTGGCCAACATACATAATGGTATTATTTTTGTAACTAAAATGATATTTTTTTCTGCGCGTTCAGGGGTAGTAAGAGTAACGGTAGGAATACTTTGTGTGTGATGCCTTGTGGTGCTGTCATCGCGAATCACCAGCGCCTGCCCTGTTTCACAGTCTTGGGAAGAATCATTGGAAGGAAATAAACTCCAGTTGGCAGAGAGCAACAGCCGCGGGGGAAGCGACCCCAGTGGCTGATTCAGTGAGATGCTTGGAATATCTTCTTAATGTTCTCCTGTGCATTTAAGAAATATATAATTAATATTATGTTGTTATTTGTTATGCTATAACAAAATGTAAATATAAATGTTATGTAACATTTGTATTACTCACGTGGGCCCAACATGTGAGGTGATTCGAGGAAATATCTGTCCCCCAAAATTGACCAAAGAGTATTTGACAGTCGGGGGTTGGGTTAAGGGCCTGACGACTTCCGATTCTTTTGAACAGTCAGTTTGCTCTAGAAGTTTAAATACTGGATACGCTAAGGTGCAAGGAGTGCATGGCTGTCTGGGTTCGAATCCTTCAGTGGTGAGTTGTTTTCGGTTACATGTTGCTTGGGGACCATTCAAGTTTATATATAATGTATATTTGTATTCACCTAGTTGTTCTTGCGGGGGTTGAGCTCTGCTCTTTCGGCCCGCCTCTCAACTGTCAATCAACTGTTACTAACTACTAATTTTATTACACCCCCCTCCCCAAGAAGCAGCCCGTAGAACCTGTCTAACTCCCAGGTACCTATTTACTGCTAGGTAGCAGGATATCAGGGTGAAAGAAACTCTGCCCATTTTGTTTCTGCCTTCATCGGGGATCGAACCCGGACCCCTAGGATTGCGAGTCCAGAGCCCTGTCCACTTAGCTATCAGATCCCATTAACCCCCATTATGTGTGTGTGTGTGTGTGTGTGTGTGTGTGTGTGTGTGTGTGTGTGTGTGTGTGTGTGTGTGTGTGTGTGTACACACGTTGTACCTAATAGGGCAAGTTGCCAAACAAGCCGAATTCTCCTTATACTTTATTATTTTCACAATTTTCGTTCTTGTGTAATGATTAACCTTTCCATTACATTATACATGATTTGATTTTGTATTTGAGTAAACACTAACATAAAAATTTGATCAAACCTAACATAATTTACCTAACCTATTCAAACCTAACCTAACATAACTAAGTCAGTTACTCATGTTCCTAATATAATAATGGAGAAATTTATTACACTGCGGCAGTGTTTCAATGAAGTTGAAGAGAAAACCCAAGTTATGTTTATATATATTCAAAACAAAAAAATCAGATGTAACCTACATCCTTTCTCAAGGTGCTGTATACATTCTGATCAAGATTCCAGACGCTTGAGTTTATACGTTTGACACAACGTCATCTGTAAATATCAGCACAGACGACCTTCTGAGGCTCTGAGTAGGGAACGTAGCTCCGGGGGACCCCTGGTGACAGTTCCCAGAAATCAGGATAATTGTGCATTCTTCTGTAACTTCGTCATCCCTTGGAGAGTCCCTGGGACGCGCCATCCCTTGGAGAGTCCCTGGGAGAGGCATCACATCAACGTCTAATGATGTACGTCAGGCTGTCAGTCATATAAAAAGCGAACTTCTAGAATCTTCTTCAGTTACGGGTTATTCATGCCCGTGCCACATCTTGGGGTGGCTTAATATTGATTAATCATTCAAATCTTCTTCACAACATTATATACAGCACCTTGAGAAAGGATGAAGGTTACTTGGAAAAATTTGATTTTTATACACTTCAACATAAATTGGATCTTTCCTTCACCTTCAGTGTAATATTATTAATTGTAATAAACTAATTTAACTAATTTGGAAAGAAATATTTGAAAATAACGAAAATCACTCTTGATTATTAGGCAAATTGGGCCTTTCGTACTAAGCCAAGTAGTGCAGTTCCTGGCTATTAGGTACGACACACACACACACACACATACACACACACACACACATACACATACACACACACACACACACACATACACACACACACACACATACACATACACACACACACACACACACATACACACACACACACACGTCTGCGGCATATGCGAGGCTGGCTAACATCAGAACAGCCTTCAGGAACCTGTGTAAGGAATCATTCAGAATCTTGTACACCACATATGTACATATGACGAAGCTGGAAAAAGTCCAAAGGTATGCCACTAGACTAGTCCCAGAACTAAGAGGCATGAGTTACGAGGAAAGGCTGCGGGAAATGCACCTTACGACACTGGAAGACAGAAGAGTAAGGGGAAACATGATTACAACCTACAAAATCCTCTGGGGAATCGACCGGGTAAACAAGGATAAACTATTCAACACTGGTGGTACGCGAACAAGGGGACACAGGTGGAAACTGAGTACCCACATGAGCCACAGAGACGTTAGAAGGAACTTTTTCAGTGTCAGAGTAGTTAACGGATGGAATGAATTAGGCAGTGATGTGGTGGAGGCTGACTCCATACACAGTTCCAAATGTAGATATGATAGAGCCCAGTAGGCTCAGGAATCTGTACACCAGTTGATTGACAGCTGAGAGGCGGGACCAAAGAGCCAAAGCTTAACCTCCGCAAGCACAAATAGGTGAGTACACACACACACTCACGGGCGCGCGATGAGGGGTACCTGGCGATCCCCGATTTAGTATATCTCACCCTCATTCCACCCCTCTTCTCCCCCCATCCTCAAGAAGATCTGAAATTCTCTCTCACACTGCTATTCCCTCTCAAGATGCGGGGATATATTTTTTTAACACATTTAGGTGCATCTGCATTTGTGCAGCTGTCCTAGACAATATGAAGGGGAGCACAGTGAGTCAAAAAACTAGCTGTGTGATGTTACAAATCCCCATCTTGCAGGACGGTTAGTCATACAGGGCCATATGTTCAGTAGCCTGCACTGGCAAATTTTGGGTGCAATATGAGGATATCTTCAAGAACACGAGAGTTAATAAAGTAATTGCCATAATTACCTTACCTATGCTAAATACGTTTCACATCTATGTTTGCTTAGTACCTGTTTTTATACAATTTACTAACGAGTTTATCCCATGGTGAATAACCTGACAGCCAAAACTTCAGGTGACAAGACCTACACTTACACTACCTGTGTGTGTGTCGAGCCGTCATCTGATGACGAGGATCGGGTCTCGCAAGGGCATCCTTCCGTGCTGAAGCCCATCTTCCAGACGCCACCAGAAGCTCCAATGAATGATTCTCTCCTGCAACCCCTTAACGATGAGGTCCACCTCCCTGTAGCCTCTCCTAACGACAGTCTCGAAAAACTTTCAGGTAATTTAAACCTAGCGGTTTATACACAGTTATAATCTGACCTATCAATTAGCGGTCCCCAGGAGAGACTATTATATATTTTTACAGGTAACTGTTTGATACTATTTATATGTGATCGTTCTATGCATTCTCCCCCCGCGTGTGCTTGCAGAAGGCGAGGGTCCGCTGCTTGGTATACAGGAACCGGCTCGCACTAGGCGCTACCGTCTTGCTAAACAAGTATGTGATTACGCCACTTGGCTCATTGCCATTTGAATGCGACATAAACAGATGTTTCTTGTGACTTACAAAAGTTTTCTTGACGATTTGTATGCATATGTTGGTCCTTTCAGCTTCACTGTGTTTAGTTTTTTTCCATTTAAACCGCGATGAATGTTTTGAGAGTACTATATAGGTATATTCAGAATGCTTATGAAGACTGAAGGTTCACCTATTGAAACTCGATAAAGTCGACCGAATCGGACTGTCTGATAGGATAGAAAATCACTTTTCTGGATTTGTCGGTGATAATGCACCTTATTTGTTGTTAGGCAGGATTTGGTTAGTGCATTTAGACATAGGTTATGTTAGGATAGGTCATGTATGAATAATTTTTAAGTTAGCATAGGTTACTTTAAGCTTGCTTTGGTTAAATTAGGGTTATGATTAAGAACATAAGAACATAAAAACAAAGGCAACTGCAGAAGGCCTATTGGCCCATACGAGGCGGCTCCTATCTATAACCACCCAATCCCACTCATATACATGTCCAACCCGCGCTTGAAACAATCGAGGTACCCCACCTCAACAAACACCAAACGCTTGCTAACCCAGCCGCTAAACTACCTTTTTTATAAATGAAAAAGTCACTCTACACACGACTCAACCGATGACGTATGTACTGTTCCAGAACAGTGCTTTGGTCACGTCCTCAGCTCGAATCGCACCTCCATAAAATGCTTCATCCACGTTCTGCAAATACCAATAATGGCCAACAGAGCATAACTACCTAACTAAAGTTACGCCTAACGAGAATATAATAGTATTACCGTATATTTGACAAAAAACTCATATATCCGCCAAAAATCATTCATATATGCAGTATGTGTAGCCTACCCTCCAAGCAGTCCATCGATTCTTATATTATGTTACCCGGTAATGCATTCCATAAGTCAACAGCCCCGTTTCCAAACCAGCAATTACCGAGGTTTCTCCTAAATATAAATTCGTCTAATTTTTCGCCATTGTTTCGAGTCCTATTTTTATATGCATGTGTTGTGCTACAGGTGTTGATGTTCTTGGGCGTGTCAGTGAGCCATATAGCTCAGCTGGGGATGACTCTCACCTGGCCCAATGTCCTCGCCTCCGACTTCCAGCACGACAACACCACCATTTACGGCTCCAGTCTCCACCTCCAGGACTGGCAGATGGACATGATGGGTGAGTGGGACGCCATGGTCCACCAGTCTCCCAGTTTCCCGTGTAGGGTTAAGTTACTTAACGGAATAAATGACTTACCTTGATCTCACCGCTTACTGGTTTAATGTAGTCTTTAATGCACGTGTTTTAAATCCTTCCTGCTTCTCACTACGTATAGGACGATTACACAAAGCACTTCAGAGCCCGTAGCTTCGCACACACATTCACTGGGACACGCGCACAACAGTGACAGGCCTCCAGAGATTTAACAGTTTCACTCGTTGACTCCAAATATCCAAACCCCTACCAATGAGTGTGACCAACCAACCCATCATCAAAACATTGGTAAAATGCTCGTTAATCCAGCTGTTAAATCCCCTGTTTAGGAATGAATACTGGTTTACGCACGACTCACAACTGATGACGTTCGAACATTTCTCGAACAGTGCTTTGCTGGCGACCTCTGTTTGCAACCCAACCTGTCCTCTAAACAAAGCAGCCCGTCCTCCAAAGACCCAAAAGTGATTCCATGCACCCGCCAAACTCCCTTTTTATGAATGAAAACGGTTTACACACGACTCACACCTGATGACGTTCGAACAGTTCCGGAACAAGTGCTTCGCTGACGAATTTTGTTCGAACCACAACGCTGTAAATGCTTCACGCACGTACTACAAATACAAATAATCGCCAACAGAACTTAAACACCCAACCTAACCAGCGCCTAAATATGTACAATATGCTAATATAATATAATATTTACATTTTATAACAAATGGTAGTTCAGAAGCTGTATTGCTAGCTTCCTTTTCTCACTAACCCCCTCCCACTTTCTCCCTCCCACTAACTTCCTCCCACTGACTCTCTGCTATGGCCGCAGGTAGCATGGTGTACATTGGGTCGTTGCCAGGGTACGTGGTGGCAGGGTGGCTGGCCCGGCGGCAGGGTCGGCGCTGGTCTATGGTGATGGCGACTGTGCCTGGACTGCTGGGCTGGGGACTCATCGCCCTCAGCCTCAACACCCACATGATCATCGTCGGGAGGTAAGCGCCGGGGGTCTCCCGCTCCTATATACACCCTCATCACCGAACATAATATTTGGTATTCACATACTCTCCCCAGCTTGGTGCTTTCTTTTGATAATAACTTACTTATTGCTTCCTTTAGCAAGCTATTGTAGCAAATTCTTTTTGTAATGTTTTTCTCCTTTATAAACTGCGGTATACATTTTATCCATCTGGATATTTGGTAATTGAACCCTGGACGTGTTTGTTGGCAATCCGCTGCTCTAATTGCTGACCAGAGTGCTCACAATAAAGGCACACGGGTAATCAATTACCCAAATTGAACCCAAATCATGTCTAACATAAGAGGATGCTCAATGTTTTGGAATATAACGTAAGGCTAGAGCTCGATCTGAGAGTATCCGCGTGGATGAAATTATTATTATGACAGTATGGATTAGATCTTATGAAGCATGGACGACATGGTGGAGTACCACTGGGTACCGTGGTGGATGCTCCGGGGAAGGTTTAAAACGCAGGCTTATGGAAATGTTACTTATGTGTTACTCTTTAGCAAAGCAGTCTTGCTTCGCGAGGCAGAGCGTTCATCTTAAGAAATAATTGTAATTAAATATTATATATTTACAGTATGTTCGCCTGCTCTCTCAGGTTCCTGACGGGCTTGGCGATGGGCCTGGCAACTGTGTCTGTGAGGATCTACCTGGCGGAGATCGCCGACACAGAGATCCGGGGCGCCGCTGGCATGATTGCCTCAGCTATGCTCGAGTTCGGAGGTCTGGTCACAATAAGTGTGGGTATGCTGCTGCCATGGTACCATATAGCCTTCTTGGTCATTGTAATACTTCTCACCTTCTGTGTTTTCATAGCACCGTTCCTACCTGAGAGTCCCATGTACTTGGCCATCAGCAACAGGGATGCGGAAGCGCGGCAGGTGTTGCTCAGTCTTAGGGGAAACTACGTCGATCTCGACAAAGAAATTAGCCTCCTCAAAGAAGAGAACAAGCAAGTTGAAGGTCGCTATAGTTGGGACGCTCTACTTAAGCCCTTCATTCTGAAACGCATCTTGATAGTCACCGGCATCTTCTGCATCTCTAACTTCTGCGGCACCGAAGTCATCCGAGCCAACGTAACTAGAATGCTGCAGACGACGGGCATGGCCCTCAACAAGGACCTGAGCACCATCTTGGTATTTGTGTTGACCCTAGGGGGCAACTTGACCATGACGATGACTATTGACCGCCTAGGACGTCGGCGGTGTCTGGTGGCGTCGCTGGCGCTGCTGGTGGTTGCCTACAGCGTCCTTGGCTTAACTATTTGCCTGACGCAAAGCCCTGCTGTCCTTTACGACACCTCCAGCGCGCCCGGACAAGGTGTCGAGTACTCCCAGGATGCTGGGCATAGGTAAATAATGCTGTTATAATTCAATACATATCATAATAGTTATATTAATCTATTTTATTCAATGATATGCATAACCCTGAAGCCCGTTCTCTTGACTGTTCTCTTGATTCAGTATTTTTCTGAATCCTTACAAACAATTAGGTGAGTATGCTTGCACCTTTTGGAGTCAGTGTCAAAGTGTCAATGATCATAACAGGTGCCAGAAACAACAGGAGAACGGAGTTAGCTTGGATGTTCCATGTACCGACTGATTAGTTTATTTAATTAGAGTTAGATCCATCCCTTGGGGATTGATCTAACTGTAATCTAATCTAATCTAATTAGTGGATATTTCACACCCACCCCAAATCCCTTGAGGTGGGTATGAAATAAAGCATATGTATGTGAGTGTATGGGCATTTCACTCAATATTTGTCATCTCCCGGCAGCAGGGCGTTGGCAGTAGAGGACTGGTTGCCAGCCGCATGTCTCATGGTGGCAGCTCTTGCCATAAGCCTCGGGGTTGGACCCATTCCCTGGGTTGTCTCTCCTGAGTTCTTCCCAACAGCAATCAGGTCCCAGGTCAGTACTACGAGACTGTCTTTGGTTATGCATATTTATGTATATGTCTATACGCAGAAATAAGTGGTGTATATGAGGGGCACCTATTAGTATCCTAATCTACGTTTTTAGCTATATTCCTTGTCACTCACGTACAAGGTAGTGGTCTGTTGTTACTCTTCACTCTGTCTATAAGCCGGCATCCTTACCATTCACAATATTATCGGTTACAATTACAATATAAACGTAATTATATTATATTATATTATATACCTTTATACCTTTCTCGTATCCTCCTCACAGGCAATGAGCGTGTGCACCATCATAGGCTGCCTGATAGCTGTGATTCCCCTGCAGCTGTATAGCCTCATGCAGGCTATACTGACGCAGGCCGGCCTCTACTGGACGTACGCGTGTGTTTCTATGTTGGGCATCATCTTCACCATCACCTGCGTCCCGGAGACCGGCAGGAAGAAGATATGGTGATGGTGACGCTAGAGGAGTATGTAAGGGAACGGTAGATCCGGTGATGAAGTCTTGAGAACAGGGACGGGGATAGTAGATCTGGTGGTAGTGAAGCTAGTAGGACAGAAAGGGGAAATCTGATGATGGTGACCAAAATGGTCAAACTTGACTGTGCCACCGCCACCCACTGGATGGGTATGTGATGCATGATGGACAAATGAATGTAGCATTCAATTAATTTACCATATATGTAAATTATTTAGCTTCAAAATCACCGGGGTCCAATTTCTGAACCCATTACGAGGCTGCAACCTTTCTGCCGCCTGCCACAGGCTGGGTAAAGAAGCCCATAACGAGACAAAAGGTGCCACATCAGTACGAAGCAGCGAGAATAAACTAAAGGAACTGAGCCTGAGGCCACTGGAGGAGATAAACACCAGTTGAGACATGATAAGGCTGTAGGGAGCACTCAGGGAAACGGTCAGGGTGGATTGCGATAGACAGGTTGACTGTGATAGATTGGCCAACTGTGATAGATTGGTTAACAGTGATATATTGGTTGACTGTTTAAATGTTGTAGACTGGTTGACGAGGACTGGACCAGAGCCAGGGAAGATGAATGAGTTATTAAGACAAGCACACCAGGCAGCCAAAAGGGCATGAGGTGTAGTCTAGAAACACACACACACACACACACACACACACACACACACACACACACACACACACACACACACACACACACACACACACACACACACACACACACACACACACACACCTTCACCGTTGTGTCACGTCTGGCTATAGTGGCGTGCCATAGATATTTGTGAAGACTTTGCGACTACGGTTAAATAAATAATATCAAAATATTTTAAAAATACATTTTGTTTTTGGCAAGTGAAGTTTTTTATTTTTATCCCCTACACACACACACAGAGGGTATATATATATATATATATATATATATATATATATATATATATATATATATATATATATATATATATATATATATATGAAGGTAAAAAACATGGGGGGATACATAAGGGATAAACATAGGGGCTGCAGAAGGCTTATTGGCCCATACGAGGCATCTCCTATCTAAACACAAAGATTAATCCAGTGTAATTGGCCTGTTATGTTGGACATTGTCTTCTGTGTTGGCATCGACAAGAACATATCGATGCCAACACAGAAGACAATGTCCAACATAACAGGCCAATTACACTGGATTAATCTTTGTTTTAGATAGGAGATGCCTCGTATGGGCCAATAAGCCTTCTGCAGCCCCTATGTTTATCCCTTATGTATCCCCATACATATATCATATTTATATATCATATATATATATATATATATATATATATATATATATATATATATATATATATATATATATATATATATATATATATATATATATATATAGTTGTGATAGCGGCACCGATATACTAGGTAATCACTGGTTTATTATAAGTTGACTCATCGTTGTACAATTCAATTTAGGAAGTTCGTTCACTGCCGTGTACATGTACAGGTCACCTCCTGATGTGTACATGTACAGGTCACCTCCTGAGGTGTACATGTACAGGTCACCTCCTGAGGTGTACATGTACAGGTCACCTCCTGAGGTGTACATGTACAGGTCACCTCCTGAGGTGTACATGTACAGGTCACCTCCTGAGGTGTACATGTACAGGTCACCTCCTGAGGTGTACATGTACAGGTCACCTCCTGAGGTGTACATGTACAGGTCACCTCCTGAGGTGTACATGTACAGGTCACCTCCTGAGGTGTACATGTACAGGTCACCTCCTGAGGTGTACATGTACAGGTCACGAGGTGTACATGTACAGGTCACCTCCTGAGGTGTACATGTACAGGTCACCTCCTGAGGTGTACATGTACAGGTCACCTCCTGATGTGTACATGTACAGGTCACCTCCTGATGTGTACATGTACAGGTCACCTCCTGATGTGTACATGTACAGGTCACCTGATGTGTACATGTACAGGTCACCTCCTGATGTGTACATGTACAGGTCACCTCCTGATGTGTACATGTACAGGTCACCTGATGTGTACATGTACAGGTCACCTGAGGTGTACATGTACAGGTCACCTCCTGAGGTGTACATGTACAGGTCACCTCCTGAGGTGTACATGTACAGGTCACCTCCTGAGGTGTACATGTACAGGTCACCTCCTGAGGTGTACATGTGCAGGTCACCTATTGGTGTGTACATGTACAGGTCACCTCCTGAGGTGTACATGTGCAGGTCACCTATTGGTGTGTACATGTACAGGTCACCTCCTGAGGTGTACATGTGCAGGTCACCTATTGGTGTGTACATGTACAGGTCACCTCCTGAGGTGTACATGTACATGTGTACATGTACAGTCACCTCCTGAGGTGTGGTGTCACCTCCTGAGGTGTACATGTACAGATCACCTCCTGAGGTGTACATGTACAGATCACCTCCTGAGGTGTACATGTACAGGTCACCTCCTGAGGTGTACATGTGCAAGTCACCTATTGGTGTGTACATGTACAGGTCACCTATTGGTGTGTACATGTACAGGTCACCTCCTGAGGTGTACATGTACAGGTTACCTACTAATGTGTATATAATAAATTTGATTAATTTATAATGCACATGTCATTGTAAGTATAGATACTGACTGCAGGCTTTCATTAAGGTAATATTAAGAATACAGATGACTATTACAGGTTATGCACGGATGATTATTATAGGTTATACACGTATAATTATTATAGGTCATACACGGATGATTATTATGTCATGCATAGGTGATTATTATGTCATACATATGTGATTATTATTTATTATACATTGATTATTACAGATTATAATCGAGTAAGACGGGTTTCTCTCCGCCAATGACGTTAGGCTGCTTTGTTTATCTCATATAACACACACACAATTTACCTCATATTTCAGACAGTTGACTTGGTAAGCCTGACCAGATAAATTATACAACTATAGCTCATTTTCGGCTGTTTTCTACTGGACAATGTATATTAATTAAAGCCCAATTGCGTTTGGTTTGGCTTGGTGTTGGGCTTAAGACTTATAACTGCACCATTTTGTTTCTAAAGACTGTCAACATGGTTGCATATGGCCTCTGAATGTCATATTAACAGAAGTATATTCATGCAGTGTAGCATTAGCCTAAACATGTAGGGAAGAAGCTTACTAAGTATGCTATAACGTGGTTAATAATTAGTAATTCGTATCAATACTCCAGTTATTCCTTCAATATTCATAATAATTCATTGCAATACTTTAGTTACTCATACGTACAACAATCCCTGCAACAATTCGTAAGAGTACTCCAGTAGCTCCTACAATGCCCCGCGCTATCATTTCCAATTGTGCCTATAACGATGGTTACTTTGCCAGGAAAGTTGTGCACAGGCCATCACTGAACTTCTTTCACATACATATTATTGACCAACTGTAGATAAACACGAACCCCAAGAACGTTAAGGCGAAGAGGATGCGTGAATACCACAGGACAGCAGCAGCACGCAGAGACTGCGTGGGCACAAAAGTATCTTTTGGCGGGAATGAGGCGGGACAGGATGAAGGTGACAGCCAGCTAGGGTTGAGAGGCCGGCGGCTTCTCGAGCCGCTAGTAGAGAGGTGTACGCCGATGATGAGAGTCAAGTACACCATGGTGAAAATGTACCAAATGTCTGACTGAGTGTTGTAGGAAGTACCCGGAAGGTCGGCCAGCGAGTCGGTGTAGAGGGCCACGAGCACCAACAGTGAAGTGAGACTCATGGTGCCGCGGTCGGCAAAGGGCTCCGCCGGCAGGAATAATGTACCATAACCAATAGCCAACAGGAGGAAGGTGGGGAGGTAAGTACCCCACACGTATTGCTCAGAGCGTCTCTGCAACACTAAGGTCACAACGTTTGTGTTATCGAGCTCCTCCACGGTCATGGAGACGTTATCAATGATGTAGTCTTCCATGACAAGATTACCTACGTACTCTACCTTGGATGCACCGCTGAAAACTAAATGTTTTGCATTGGTGTTGGCAATGTTGATGTCGAAGCTGCAGGTCTGGGTGTCCCAGGGGAACCGTTGCAAGTCCAGGTTGCACCTCACCACCGGTTGCAGCTGCACTGACTTTTGCAGAGAGTTCTCAGAGCCATCGAACACGACGTCTGCAACATTAAGAACTTTATTGAGTTGAAAGGGGAAAAGCTGGTCACAACGCTGACTCAAGAAAAACCAAATGGAAGAAAAATCACTATTGTTTAAACAAATTTATCAGGGAAGCTCGTTAATAGGTATAAATAAAGGGGTGCAAATTAATAATAATAATAAATTTATCACTATTATTTTTACGCTACTTAAAAGTTACTATAAAAGTTTAAAAGCTAGAATTATCTGTATCAAGTGAGGAGTTTATAATTGTACAAGATACTATTGAAGTGAGTGTGTGATGGTCGCCAGCCACCAGCGTGTTTCATACTTTTATATAAGGGAAATTAGATATTATATATTCAGGGAGATAAGAGCATCAAAATTGCTATATCCGTGCAAAGGAGAATTCATCATTATTATTTTTATTATTAATATTATTATTATTTATTATTATTATTATTATTATTATTATTATTATTATTATTATTATTAATCATTATTATTAATCATTATTATTGTTAGTATTATTATATTGGAACAAATAAAATATAACACTAAAACTTTATTCGCAAAAAATTTTAACATTTTTTTTTTAAGGGAAGGGAGTACCACCTCTGGCTGGAAGAAGGGGGCCCTTAGCCTCGGAGGAAGCTTTATTTATTTATTTATTTTTAATCATATTTCGTAATTAGTTTTTACGAATAATAATAATAATAATACCATTGTGAGTTGTATGACCGTGACGCATTCCTCTGAAGCAAATATTGACAGAAGGGCTGTATATAAACATGTTACACCACATCGAACGCTAAGGAATTTGTTTCAGGCAATGATAAATTTAAGGCAAGCATTAGTTCGTGTTGACGCAGCAAATTAAAACCATTACTCAATTTTTAACAGGCTGTACTAGGAGACTGAGTGAAGTCACGTGACGGCCATCAATGTGTCGGGTCTTACCGTCGCCCTGGTAGCTGCCACCCGCCTCTCTCGTCACCACAACGAACGAAGAGCGTTGGTTAGCGAAGCCGTAGGTGGGCGTCACCCCGACGCTCGGCTCCCACAGTGGACTGTGTCTCCCTCCCGTTCCCACGATATTGGTGGCCGTCCCCGGTCTCAGGTTACGGTATCTCACGTTGCTGTCGTACCACCTCAACTGCACTGACAGGTCCAGGACGATGGTCATTTCTCGCAAGTTGACGCTGATGACCTGGAGAGTGACCAAGATGGTCATGGTGAGAGATAAGGAGGGCGGGAAGCTGGTGATGTAGCCTGGGGGAACTATGACCACCTCACAGCCACGCTCGTCACTCCAGTCCCCACAGGTGTTGACCAGGTCACACCGGTCGTCCATGCTGATGCAGGAGCCATCGTCACACGTAAACTCAGAGGCGGAGCAGATGCTCAAGGTCAGGTTCTGAATTTCTGGTTCGAGCTGTCTTTTTCTGGAGACAATGGACCATGGCAGTCGGCCGATAGGTAAGCCGTTAAACTCGCAAAAAGCTAGTGTCTGGTTTTTACCTGAATCATAAAGTCTCCAGTAACCATCACTCTCATAAATAATTCTATAAAGCAGAAGACCTATAAAGTAAACACTACATTTAGATGATGTCTGAGAGAGAACAAAACTGTATGCAAGGGTTCGTGGATGCTTGACCCGCCTCAGGCCACGCAAATGAAAGAGTGGTACTTTGTCAGGCACTAATCCAGCAAAGCAGTTTTCGCTATCATTATCATCCGTGATCCAAGTATTGTCAGTATCCTGTAAAGCACCATCTGAGCTTTCGTAAGTACGTTTGTGCCGTTCTAGCTCAAACTGCAGCTTCTCCCCAGTCACGCCATTATGCCAACTGTTGGAGGTGAAGTTAAACTTGGCGTTAATCCATACAGTATTGCCAGTATCCGCATCGTTATCACAGTTTGTGCCATAGACGTTCAATTTCCTGTTTAAGTTTTCGGCATCTTCCAAGTTTCGCGGAAGGAAGGGGCTCATCCCCATGATTCTTAAAGTTTTAAATGCCTCTGGTCGTGTAAGCTTTACATTGAAAAAAATTAGAGAATATGTCTTCTGTGTGCACGGACCGTCGGCGTGGCGTCGGTAGTGACCGCTAGGCTGCCAGGCCTCGGTATCCCACCTCACCCAGTCACCAGGAGTGGATGCTGCATCACACAATCCTTGTTGTTGGATCTCCGTGGGCGTGAGGGCCCGACTCCAGGCGTTTAGATCAGTCACGTGGCCGCGGAAGGCTTGATCACTGTTGTAGCTGGCCATCAGTAAGTCCTGCTCCTGACCCAGCACCAGCGCCCCGCCAGGAAGAAGGCTAGACTTCTCCGCCCAGGGCCACGACTTGAAGGCGACACCGTCCATGTAGAAGGTGTGGTTGAGGCCCTCTACTCCCACCATACACACCCGGCGCCACCTCTCTAGTGCGTACAAGTTCTCTATGGCCACCTCCACCGTCTTGTAGTTATAAGTCACGAAAATCTTAATTGGAGTAATGGCTGTCGACAAAAGAAATGAATCTGTTAAGAGGTACTCGGATATACATGAAACTATCTAGAAATCTACAGATACAAAATATAGACAAAAACATGTGTACAGGTGTGAAGTACAACAAGGGGAAACACGTGACCAATAATACTAGTAACTTATTTTATCCTGTTATAATGATAATACAATTTATATTGTAGTAAATTTGTTTCAGTTACAAAAAAACGTAACCTACAAGATATATGTGTAACAAGTACGTAACTACAGCTGTATCTTCAGTGTAGGAGAAAATGTTAAATAAATAGATAACAATTTAAGATTAAATGCAACCACATAAAAAATATTATAATTTGTCATACACGTCAAGGAAAAAAAAGAGCGAGATATATGGCAATACAAATAACATAAATGAGTATTAACTGTTCTAATACTATGTTGGCCTATTAATGCTCCCAGACAGCTGAGCGTACGTAATTGCATCAGTGACGTCACAAGTGTCCCAGCGTTCGTCAGGAATTACTTTAGAGCTTCACTTAACACGTGATGGTATAGTAAACATGAACCTTATGGAGTGCAGACTTTGAAGGATTTTAACATACTCCTGCAATTAAAGAAAATTGTGCATTTGCATGTGGTTCTGAGACTTTTCATGCCAACTAATAGTCAGCACAGGTTCCAAAATGGCCCTCAGACCCAAATTTTATCATAATACTAAGAATTTACACGAATATTATATCATTACTTCGTGACCCACTCTGACGGAGAGCGACAGCATGCAGTAAATTAGGCGAGTAATATGTGACAAATCATATCCTAGGGACAGGTTATAATCATATACAAACGAGTGTAAGTGCATTCACAAGTGATTTGCCTGAGTGTGTGTGTGCTGGTGTATGACTTGAGTGTTCACACACACACAGTACACTACCCTTTCGGGGTAAAATTACATTAATTATTGGTTGCGTTTACGAGAATGGTCGATGTAAATGCAATGCATGAGACGTTAAATTGACTTCCAGGACGAGCACGTGCGTGTCATGTCTCAACCAGGACGAGCACGTGCATGTCATGTCTCAACCAGGACGAGCACGTGCATGTCATGTCTCAACCAGGACGAGCACGTGCGTGTCATGTCTCAACCAGGACGAGCACGTGCGTGTCATGTCTCAACCAGGACGAGCACGTGCGTGTCATGTCTCAACCAGGACGAGCATGTGCGTGTCATGTCTCAACCAGGACGAGCACGTGCGTGTCATGTCTCAACCAGGACGAGCACGTGCGTGTCATGTCTCAACCAGGACGAGCATGTACGTGTCATGTCTCAACCAGGACGAGCATGTACGTGTCATGTCTCAACCAGGACGAGCACGTGCGTGTCATGTCTCAACCAGGACGAGCATGTACGTGTCATGTCTCAACCAGGACGAGCATGTCTCAACCAGGACGAGCATGTACGTGTCATGTCTCAACCAGGACGAGCACGTGCGTGTCATGTCTCAACCAGGACGAGCATGTACGTGTCATGTCTCAACCAGGACGAGCATGTCTCAACCAGGACGAGCATGTACGTGTCATGTCTCAACCAGGACGAGCACGTGCGTGTCATGTCTCAACCAGGACGAGCATGTACGTGTCATGTCTCAACCAGGACGAGCATGTCTCAACCAGGACGAGCATGTACATGTCATGTCTCAACCAGGACGAGCACGTGCGTGTCATGTCTCAACCAGGACGAGCATGTACGTGTCATGTCTCAACCAGGACGAGCATGTACGTGTCATGTCTCAACCAGGACGAGCACGTGCGTGTCATGTCTCAACCAGGACGAGCATGTACGTGTCATGTCTCAACCAGGACGAGCATGTACGTGTCATGTCTCACCTAACACCAGCATGCTGGTGACGGCATTACTGAGGGCGTAGCTGAAGACAGTGGCCTTGTCCGTGAAGGAAGAGAGAGAGAAGGCCACGCAGATGGTGTACTCCGTCAGAGGCTCTTGGAGGTCGTCACTAACGCAGCCACCAGTTGTATCCGGGTTTGAAGATGTGCCTGGTATTGAAGCTGTATCCGGGCTTGAAGATGTGCCTGGTATTGAAGCTGTATCCGGGCTTGAGGATGTGCCTGGTATTGAAGCTGTATCTAGATTTGAGCCTGTGGATGTGTTTAGGGCTGTATCTTGATACGGGTCTGTGTTAGGGCTTTGAGTCGTGTTTGGGCTAGATTTTTCATTTCTGAGATCTACGTTCAACCCTGGCTGTAGCAGATCCGGAGAGCTGCCTTGATTCAAGAGCTTGGGGGCGTGTTGAGGGAGTGGATGAGACGGGTACCTCTTCTCCGGAAAGCAGGCCGGATACAGGACAACACATGTATGGTTGTCCGAGGGATCTGCGGCCTGGAGCTCGTACACCACCGTGCACCGCACGCAGTCTGCAACACCAGAGACAGGGTATCAAGCCTCACACTCAGATACAGCCGGTTCATGCCTAAACCCCACATAGCACAGGGGAGGGGTAAGGTCTCTGATATTTGTGTGTATTTACTATTTGAGCCGAGCTGTTAGCTTTTGGACCCCACCTTTCTAACCGACGGTTGTCTGATACACTGACTCCAGACCTATTTTCCTCTATCATATCTACTACATATATTTTTGTTTACACACACGAACATACATCCTTAAGATGCAGCCCGTTGTAGCTGTCTCACTTCCAGGTACCTATTTACTGCTAGTTGAACAGGGCCATCAGGTGAAAGAAACTCTGGCCTGTTTCCTGCCTCCGCCGGGAATCGAACCCGGGCCCTTAGGACTACGGCCAACGAGCACTGTTCGCTCGGCCTCGAGGCCCTGTGTGTGATACTCACGTAATCGAGTTCGCAGGGTCGAGCATCTGCTCTTAAGCAGACGATTCTTCATTTTCAGATGTGTGGGTTGGGTGTCCACTATCCACTGACTCCCTCTATAATGGATTTTTCTCTCGTCATAGACTCTCACATACACAAAGACAACAAATACTTAAGTGAGGCTAAATGGTAAAGTGAGCTAGGCACTAGGCCACAAGCGATGCTGTGATATGTAACGTGTGAACGCAGATAACATAATTTAGTGGCCACAGTCAATGAACTCGTCATTCATAAAACACAACGTTGATGTTATATGCTTTTAGTATTATATTATAACGGTCGAGATGATAGAAGCTTTTAACCGCAAAAAACGAGTTAAAATATTTTAAACCTCTTTTGTATGTTGAAATTGCGTTCTAACCTAAGAACGAGTCATTATGTTTGGACTTACTGAGCGATGAAACGGCGAGCGCTAGCAGCTCCAGGAGAAAGAAAGGAGTCATGGTCTTCAGTGGTGCTGGAGGGTCACTGGCAGGCTACCTGTGCCACCTGCCTGCCGAAACTAAACCTACAAACCAGCTGAGAGCGTCTGCTCCTATGTTTACATGGAGGAGCTCGCGTCAGCCACGGAGAACGTTGGTAAACAAGCACGATGGTTTGATCGAGCGGCCCATGTCAAGGCAACCTGATCAAGCCTCCATTAATCAACTCGTGCACAAAAAAATCTTTGAGAGCGAACAGAGTTCAAGGCCAACACGACACGAGCAATTATCTGGTGTTGACCACCTTAGGACCGGACGTGTAAGCAATTAGTGAAAGTGTTTACCGTTTGCTTGCCCTTTTGTTGATCGGGTGATGGTGTGGATGGAGCTTGTAGATTGCAGGCTTCGTTCTCGACTCATAGTCGAAGGTTCCCGGGCAAGACAGAAGTGGTTAGGCACATTTCCTTTCACCCAGTGCTTATGATCACCTAGTAGTAAATAGGTACCCGGGAATTAGGCAGCTGTTGGGATCCTGGGGAGGGTCAGTAGTCCCACTTTAGGGAACCTCGATATAAGCCTAAAATTTCTATCTACACAGTACACGTGGGTCATCATTGAAGAGTCCGAAAAGTATCTCAGGAACCAACTCAGCAGTGCCAACTTGACCTGATGCAGGCAGGTTAACTAGACAAGCTGATTGACTCCGAGGGCCACATTGAACCTCTCATTTTACTCCAGTCCCCAAACCAAAACAGTGTGTTGCCCCCAGGGGCAGCAGCCACTGGGTTGGCAAAACTACCAGACGGGTCACCGTGCATCACCACGCAGGAGGGCAAATCGTTTGTACACCGTCACAGCAGGCTGGAGAGGAGAGCAGAAGCCATTTGGTATGTCAGCTTGGGTCATTTTATGTTTCCGTTTCCTCATGTCGGGCTAATTAACCCTCAATATTGCCCCTTAGTGAGTGGTCCCTTGACGAGGTCAGTGGGCTCTTGTGCAGCACAAGGGCCCATGCACTCACTCCAAGGAACCACTCACTGAGGGGGTAATATTGAGTTAATTAGCCTGACATGTGGAGACGGAAACAAAATGACCCAAGCTGACATACCAAATAAAATTCTTAATGACAGCCATTTTGGGGGCCAGTCTCAGACAATCATTCTTACATCAGAGTTTATCCTCAAATTTTCGGTCATTTTTATCGGTATTATTAACCGCTAAAGTACTGTACTAATACACATTCCAGAACATTGTTGTTAAGTGACAAGAGACAATGAATTTCATCAGTGAAATGTACAGTACCTCAAATCACCAATGACCACAGCTTCAATTAAATTGACTAAATTAAAGTGGCTTCAAGTACAGTATTTTACGCTCATTATAGTGACCAACTTCATTGCGTTTGATGTTATATAATGAAGTCGATATTAAGGCCCAACTGAAATAGTCACTGCTTCCCAAAGCGGTAAAGTTTCTGTGGGAAGAAAACGTATTACCATGAATTTGTGTCTAACCGACTAAGTTGTGCGCGCGCGTGCATTGAAATTGAAATTGAAATAAGTTTATTGAGGTAAAATACACACAAAGGGATGAGGTAGCTCAAGCTATTCTCACCCCATTCAGTACAACGTGTTAATATATACATAGACACACATTGAACGGGGCGCGTGCATTGAACGGGGTACTTAAAGCGCGCCCGCGGACTCGGCGACCTCTTGTTCGCCTTCTCGTCAGATACACTACAAAACGCCCACCCTCCTCCCGGGATCCCCTGCATCCCCTGTTATACTTTCCAAGGGAAGACGCTAAAGCAGTTTGCTGGGGACACTTGTTCCATCTTGCAACGAATTTGTGTTACCTTTGGGGGTGCTCCAACAGGACCCCCAAAGTGATAAGCTAAGAATACCAAGAATTGGAATTACCGAAAATTCAAATCATGCAACTTTCAATTACTAATTAGAGATGTCACTTTAACTGTAATTGATTTAATACATTATCATTATAACGGCTATCCATTAATATTATTTCTGTATAATA